GCTGAGATTTAAGCTGTTTACATATTTGTGCGGAAAGAAAAAGATCATCTTTTTAAATTAGGTTATGGATTTTGCAGAACCGCAAACTTCTGTGACAAGTGTTTGTGTCATTCCCACTTATTTTTTGAGCAAGTGGGGCAATTCCTAGATATGATCCAGGCCCTCTTAAGCCTCCATAAACATGGAGTTAGTGTACTGCTACTGCTAACACACATTACATGAAGCCCAATTTGTCACAAAGAGACTGCAAGTGGAGCGTTTACTAATGGCTGCAAACATATTTTTTGGCAACGTTACCGCCGGGTTTACCACGGTTTCCAAAGATTTAAACAAGCATGACTATGAAGAAGTTGCTCATTTTCCTGCGAGTCACAATGGTTTGTTGTTTCTGGGATTAGAGGCAAATATCAAACTTCCTGAAAGTTGTTTGGCTCAGCGTTTGTTAGTGCAGCGCTGTTGTAATGGACTCGCAAATAGCAATTTTCCACCTTGCGTATACGTGGATAAATGTGACTATGGCGAGAGCGGCATGATCACCAAGTAGAATTAAACATATAGCTCCATTACACTATTTAAGATTATTACTCCGTCTCATAATTTTATGGGCCACCTTTCAATGTTTTCTTTTCTCCAGTTTACTCTGTTCCACTACATAGCTCCTCGGCTCTGCCAAAAGGGAGTTGAATAAATGGCGGGCATGATTTCTGGTAGACGTGTCACATTTATATATATGGTTCTGTGTGCCAATATACTAATAGCTTGAGCCATCTTGATTTTCCTACTGGCACGATTTGGTTCTGTACAGAATTTTACAAAACATTGAAACTAAGGGCTTCACCAAAAAACAAAGCAGTCACGCAGACAATAATTAGTAAGTTTTAATCGCTGCTGGATTTTTGCATCATTCATCTTACCTGATATCAAGAACTAGACATTAGAACTCAAGGCAGAGATGAAGAACTCTCAATGAACCTCATTGCACGCAATTCAAAATTAAGTAATGCGCTCGGCTGATTTCCTCCTTTAAAGAACAATTCAGAATGTTGATGTGGGAGGTGAAGACATTCATGGCGTATTTGTATTGGGTATAGAGCAGAAGTGAGATTGTTAGAAACATTAGGACCTGGAAGCAAGGGAACAATGTGCCTTCTCTAACAAAAGAACAAGAAAGTGTTTTATGTTGAAACCGACAGTTTCTTTAAAAAAAGCTAAACATATGTGTTGCAGATGCACATTTCTGGTCAACGTCTGCTGTCGGCTTCGCTAATGTTTTGTTTGAGTGCAAAAGAGTTGAAATGAATTCGGAAGGCTGCTCCTTGGCTACAGTGGATACAAATATATTAACAGACTATAATGACAAATATGTAAAAAATGTTTTAAATCCTTGAGTCTTGTTCTCAGCCAAGGAGACCAGTAGAGCAGCGAATGAGGCTGCGCTGCCTTGAGTAACAAGCTAATGTGCAGCAGTTGAGTTATCACAAATTCAGCAGACACATGTCATATTTTATTTTAGCAAAGCATCAGCACGGTCCGCCCCCTGAAACCACAAATTGTAAATGTACAATCATACAATGTGGTCATTCGCCAACATTTGGTTAATAACCTTATTTTCTTTTTACTTTGGACAGAGCCAAGCTGGCCGTCTCCAGTCTAAGCTTGGTTAAACATGTTTTGACTCCGGCTGAAGACGTGACATTTATATCAGTCTTCTCAAATCTCTCTTGGAAACATATGCGTGATGCCCAAAATATGAACTATTCAATTTAATAAATGATTAATAACAAAGACCTAAATCTCGCTTGTGTGAGAAGAACTCTGAAACAACATCTTCTTTCATCGGCAAGTTTGTTTTCTGTGATTGATCATTTGGGGTTCACATTAAACAGCGGTTCCCTCAAATTGGAAGGCCTCTACATTACTCGCTGCAGTCTTGATTAATTTGATTAATCGATAACACAGCCGGACTCAAGCTCGCTGCTGGAGATTTATTCAACGCCACCGTCTAACACATGAAGAGCTGAGGCTGAAAAATGGCGGAGGGACAGATTGGTTTGTTTTGGCTCGGGAGCCTTGTTCCACTCACAGACTACTGGTGTGGAGCCGCTCTCTCTTATTTAACTATGTGCCTCGCTGCGAGAAAGGAAAAAATGGCTTTGTATAATCACCAACCAGCCACATGCCCCCAACCCCCCCAAAAAAGGAAAAAAAAAACGTTGGCAACTGTTTTTTCGTGCAGAACATTAAAAAGAGAGCAAGAGAGAGGGAGACGTTTCTGACCGCAACTCATAAACCGCACTTTATTTAGACTGGCGTGCACCCATTATTTGTTCACAGGGGCTTTCAGTCAGTCTGAGGGAAATATGTTCCAGCATCTGGGGGGAGGGGGGACGATGGAGGGGAGAGGGAGTGAGGAGGTGGGATGAACTCTTGCCAGGTGTCGGCCGTTGCCATGGCGCTCCATCAGGCGACTCCGTCGCGGCTCGGCGGGCTCATCAGAGGCTGAATGCCAATGGGAGGGTATTTGTGGCGTGCAGAAACCAAAAGTGGCTCTAAAGCACTGGGCTTTAAACCGGCTCCCCCCCCCCCCAGCCCCCTCGCCGCCACCCACCCGACGGGAATGTATAGAATGTGACCTGTTTGTGCGATGCGTGATTGACGGGGAGCGGCTCGGCGACGCACTCAGGGCTGGCTTTCTCCGTTAAATGTGTCACTGCGAGCGTTTTCTGTGACACACCGAAGGGAGTTGGGTTTAAAATAGGCCGCGATAATTCCGGTTAGGTGGGTGATTTGCTGCTGAGCAGAATGATGTGCATTAATCTTTTCTTTTTTTTCCCTCCCCAGGCCTTTCAGGTACCAAGCTAGAATCGATTTTATTTATGGAACGACATGCTCCATCTGCAGCAGCAGCAGCAGCAGCACGAACCGGGATGTCGTTGTTTACAACGAAAATCTTGTTTAAAGTCTCTGAGACATTTTGTCTCATCTGCTCTTCTGCTGCTACGGTACAAATGGTTTTGCATCATCCCCTCCATACCCATGGTTCCCAGCAGCGTTTTCCATGCTCATGAATAATATGCGGCGGCGGCGGAAATGTCCCCACCGCCATCATCATTGATACACAAAACAGCTCCATCTCACCTGTGTTACTGCTCAGCAGCAACTGTCCATGTTCACAACCTGAATAGGCCCTGCTCGCCGCAACTCTTAGCAACTGTTGCTACGTGTAACATTGTTGAACTCCACCTCTCTCTCGCTCTTCAAACACGAATGACTAATCCATCACAGAGCACACTGAAAGCTCTTGGTGAGGCCTCTGGAGCCGCTTGACGCCCCCCGTGACCCTCTCCGGGATGTTTCCTCATTACTTTATAATGTATTCACGCTTACGCTTGCATGGCGCTCGCCCTGGCCTCGTAATGGGAGGAAGCAGTGAGCTGTTCCGATGCATACGAGCCCCGGCACAATTTGCACTTCATTTTATTAACAAAAAACAGCCAGCCCGGCTTCTGGCTGTGCCTTGCCAAAGCTCACCAGGCTCCAGCGTGCACTGCCGACAAATTCCCTGCAACGTGACGACAGGATAGAGTCTCTCAGCATCAGTGGGGTACCTCCGCCGGCCCCCGGGAGATGCTGTCATTATGCGTGTTTGCAATCATGGGAGCTGAATACCTTGGCTGGAAGTGAGGGAGAGAGCCGACGGAGTCAGAGGGAGAAGGAGGGGAAGAGATGGAGGGGGAGGTGGGGGTGGGGAATGAATGTTTCGGCTCCTCTGCGGTGTTTGGAGCTTTCTGAAATGCATGTGCTATCATAGCAATGTTGTGTTTACCACAGCGGGAGGCAAACACAGAGTCAGAGGAGTGGCGCGGAAACGCCAGACACAGTAAAATGAGCAAAATACATACATTAGGACTCTGTATTCACTACACACGAGCCGAGCTGCGGAGAAAGACTCATTTCAATATAAATGGAAGACAAGCAGGGGAGAGTGTGTGTGTCTTTATATCAGCTTTTGAACATATTTCTTTTTTTCTTGCCCCATGGAAATATCCTGCAGAGACCCTGGGAAGAGAAGTGCTGGGAAGTCAGGATGTCAATGTTAATTTTCTCCCGTTGCTATGAAGACTCTCTCACAGAGGGCCCCGGTCCCCCCCCCCCCCCCTTCCTCCTCCCCACACCCCCCTTGGTCACCGCACTTTCAGTCAAAGAAGCCTTTCTGTCTCCAGTCTTCCTTGTGCAATCAGACATTGAGGAACATCTCCACATCAGGCAGCCCCGTGGACCGGGAGACTCCCAACATCTGGGGGCTGTATTGATTTCCAGGGGAGGGGGGGGCAGGGGGAGTAAATGTCTCCCCGGTGAGCTATTCAGAGCAGCTACTTCCGCATTCAGCCAATCTTTCAGCCGTGATTGTCACGCTTGTGTTTTGATGGCAGGGTGCAGTAGCCGCTTGTCTTACACAGGAGTAACACAAGCAAGCACTTGAATATATCAATACCATACCCCCAAACCCCCCCTTTGAGCCAGAGGCTTTGGCTGGTACCCACATCAAGGGGAGATTGTTAACGTGAGGACAAGTTGCAGGGAAAGCATCGTAAACACCAAACTTTTTAGTCTGTCAACATCTAGTCAATAGTGGAAATCACTGACAGAAAGAGCTGTTCTGCCTCGAAACGCTTGACGCGCTATCGTGTAACACGTTCAGATGATGCTGATGATGCTGTACACCGCCAGGCATAAACCCCTTTGCACCCTACGGGGCTTGATGTTCCCCTGCAACGGCACAGAAACACCACACGGCTCACCTGTTGTATTCTGAGCTCCCGTTGGGGGTGTTAAGCTTTCTTAAATGTTTGAGTCAAAATCAAATCGATCACAGTAAGAATTTTAGGGTGACAATAGTAAAGAAGCGCTGTCCTGCTTCAAAGTCTTAATCTATACCTGCAGCCTCATTTTGTTTTGAACAATTTTCAGCTGCTATTTGACAAATTGATAGCAAGAAAGTGAGTACTGTGTGTTTTATTCAGTTTCATGAGATACACCACAAGTTTCCTTTCCACCTGACAGACTCATTTACATCACAAATAGATAATTTTGCGATTACAACAAAATGACACATTTATAAGTTTGGTTTAAACACGAATATGTGTAATTCAACATAAAGAATGCATCATTTGTATCCTTTATTACACACTCAGGACAAAACATGGATTATTAAAAATGTGACATCTTCTAAACTTGTTTTTGTCCAACCAACAATATATAAACACCAAAGTATCCAGCTAACTGTGACACGGAACAAACAAATGCGAAAGCAAAACATTGCAATTTTTGAAACATTATGAACTGATTATCAGATAAATTGTGTTAGAGGATCAATAAAAGGTACATTAGACACCTGCACACCTGCCTTTAACATGTCAAAGGCCCCAAGTCATGAGACCAGACCTGAAACGGATTTCTTCAAAGTGCATCTGCAGGCAACAGAGTCGCTGGCTGAGGGCTAAACAGCAAAGAGACAAAAATGACAGGGATTTCACCATTGAATCCCTTTAGCAGGCCACTGACACATGAATGAGGGCAACGCGAGAGAAGAGAGAGAGCGAGGGAGGGAGAGAGAGGAAGGGAGAGAGAGAGAGAGAAAAAGAAGAGCAGACAACCAATTTGGGAGTAATGCAACTAAAAACTGACAAGTGTAATTTCATCCATCTGGGCCGATGTGTAAAAAGCGCTGCTCCGAACATTCCCCATGATTCCCCCTGATTGATCTTCCCCTGGTCTGAAACACCTATTATTAGCCACGAGCCTAATAGCACCAGGATGGCTCAGCGCTCTCCCAGGGGCCAATTCTCCGGTCATCTGCCCCTCACTCACCACAGCTGTGGAAACCAACCAGGGAGAGGGAGGACTTGGGGGGGTGTAGCTGCCAAGAGGGGATGGAGGCGTACCTATTAGGTGGGGGGGGGGGGAGGTTAGGGCGATGGAGCGAGGTTGAGGAGAGAGGAAGAGAGGGGTAGAGTGGGTATGAAGAGGAATATGGAGAGGAGAGTAGGGGACGCGATGGAGGAGAGATGGAGACCAGTGGATGGACATGCAATGGGAGGGAGGGGGCAGTGGGAGGAAGGGGGAGAAGGGGAGGGGGGGGGAGACAAAAGAGATCAAAAAGTTATTCATGAGCATTTCCTGAAAGAAAAAAAAAGGAGAAAATCCATTTTACCTTCTGCTGATTGAAATGATTGTTAAAAACATTACATCCACTTTGTGCTCATTTTAATTACTCAGGAGGAAAAGGTTGTCTCCAGGACGTGATGCTCATCCATCCCCAGCTGAGGCGGCTGCTAACGACAGGCCGGCAACACTCCAGAGGAAGCTTGGCACGATTAAGCTTGTTTGAATTAAATGAAAAATTTAAATGATTTGAAAACTGCAGGTCGTAAAGTAGTTTTCAGGAATAATAATGACGCAAACATTTTTTTTTTACTTTAAACATCTTAATTGTTTGATTTGAAACATCGTATTGCTTCAATTAACTTTGAGTTTCTTTCATCAAGCCCATTTTAGAAAATCAGAATTGACCTTTAACAGTAATTTATGCAGTCCCCATTTTTACCATTTAAAAATAGTATAAAACATTTAGGAAATGGTCTGGACCCACTCAAATTGTGTTTAAGTGAATATTACCATTGGGGAACACATTTGAAATAATATCATGTAGATTTTTTAATTGTGCACAATTTTACTTAACATTCATCTGCAACTGTGTTGTGAAAGTTATCACATTTTAACATACTGTTAATAAATTCTAATTTGGGGAACACATTTCAGTTGTCACATTTTTCATGAAAATCTGATTGACAAAAAACAGCTTAGTTTGATGGAATATTCAAGGTTGAACCAACTTAGAGTGAAGGTGGGCACGTTGAGGCTCCTCAACCCAGTGCTGCCATGGGGACGCTCAAGGTTACACGCCAACAATAAGAAGGTTTGCAACACAAAAAGTGAGGGAGAAATGTTGATTGCAGACTGGCTCTTTTGGGGGATTTTGCGATGGAATAAGGTCAGAAGTTGTCTGTTAATCACCCCTTCAGTCTCTTTGATTGAGTGAGCCCTCAGGTGAGGCGTAATGCATTTTCAAGGGCAATGATGGCAATAATTGGCTACCTTCACTTCACTAAAATGGACAAAGTCCTGAAAAAATCTCCCCACTTGAATTTGACAGTTCAGAGCAAATGAAAATAAAGGCTCTGAGGGCTTTTCAGTCAACAAATTAATAAGTATGATATTATAAAGCTGGCTATGGACACGATCTCTTGGCCAAATCATTACGCTGATCTGTGATCTGCAGTTTGTAAAGTAAGAGGACCCTGAACTGCTGTGATACATTTGTTTTGCAGCAGGATTCTATTAAAAAAACAATTTTTTATTAAAAATAAAAGTGTATTATAAAGGCTGAAGTGATGTTCGTATGGTCTAGTCACGATTATACACAATCATGCTGCAGGACACAGAATTGTTGTGGGCCATCAAATCGATGAAATCCTTCATTATCGGGTTTTTTTGACGGAAAAATATATTTTTTGACATTTAAAAAAGGTGGATGATTATTTCTTAGGTTTTGAGCTGAGACAGACCTTTTAGAAATGTCTTTCCTCTGCATGTACAGCCGGATGTAGTCAACTTTGCTTCAGTTTAGTACTTTTTTTGTAGTTCATATTGGAGATGTTAGTGCTCCGTGATCAGTTCATTCTGACATACTTGTTTTCTAAACCTTTTACAATAATTCTGTAATAATTGCTATTCTTAAAATTAATTTTTACATTCTCCCGTTTAACCTTGTTTATATTCTGGTGTTTTTATGGAATTATTTTAAGGATTAGCTGCAGTGTAATAAAGAAAGAAACAATCTGGCGATGAATGTAATGATGATGATGATGATGATGATGATGATGATAATAGCAGCAACAGCAACATTAGAAGCACCAAAATAAACATCAAGAGCCGGTAATAATAATAGTAATATCAGTAGGGGTGATGGTCCAGGTAAAAGATGGAAGGAAAACATGGCTTAATTTTTTTAATTTTTTATACAAGTCCAAGTCTATTGTTTTCTCAGAATCTTGCGAGAGCAACATTGTGTTGTTAGAATTGACTTGTTTCACAAGGGAAACCTTTTGAGAGGCCTTTAGCAGGGAAATGTCTTTCACTGGACATTCATCAGCCTGAAGAGGAACGTTCCCTTCTTTGCGATTATCTTTAATGCAAAATAACCAGAAATGAATGTGGAGACTCTGGATCCGAACATTTGATTGCAGGTGTACTCTTGGTAAAAAAAAAATAATAAATCAAAACGTAGACTTTGCATAAATGCTCTCTGTTAATCCAACTTTCTGTGAGCAAGAAGGCAACTCCTTGAAGGAGGGCAGGGAGCAAAGCCGAACCAAAGCCCGGCCTGCTATGCAGTTTCAGGTAGGAGTGTCCCAGGGTGCAGCAGACAAAGGTCCACAGCTTTCACCTGACCAACTGCTGCCACCCAACACAGCTCATGAGAACACGAGCAGCATCTCGTCCGCCACATCTTACCTCACCAGGTGTGACTCCCCTTTCTCTACCCTTGTTTTCCACTTCGCTTCACACCGCGCTCTTAAATTTCAAGCTCTTTTATTTTGCAGTCAGCATCGGCTATTGTGTGCAGCACTTCCTCCAGTGGGGCATTCATTGTTGCCTGAGAGCCCGACACACACACACACACACACACACACACACACACACACACACAGGTCACTACTTTATTAGTTGTTAATGTATGTATTGAGGATGTGTGTGTGTGTGTGTGTGTGTGTGTGTGTGTGTGTGTGTGTGTGTGTGTGTGTGTGTGTGTGTGTGTGTGTGTGGACGGAGGGGGGGGGGGGGCGTTCTTGTGAGAGATGCATCTACAAAATATTCCCACCGAACAGGATTGTTCAGTATTTTCAGGCCTATTCATGGCAAAGTTGAGTAAAAGTTGAGATCTTCTCCGGTGTCGAAGCACTTCAGCGAGAGTTTAGTATTATTTCCCCGTGTTTAATCCTCTTTTACATGGTTCATCTGATTTTGTTTGAGCTTCGTGCTCGTGATATTTTGATTTAGTGATAGCTCGGTGATGTTTTATTCATCCAGCAGATGCTGCTCCAAATTCTAAATCTCACCGTCGTTGTTCACCCTACAAGGACGACACGTAACACGTTTATTTATTTAGATATATATTACAGGAATTGTGTGTTGTGTGAAACGAAGATTGAATTCCTCTAATCCCTCGCATTTGTAATCGAGACCCACCGTCCTCATTACGGGCGCACTTTATTACCCATAATAGCATCTTATCATTCCGCTGCTGCAAGGACTGCGGGTCATGGTGGGACATTTACATCCGCGGCATCCTCGCCACTATTTATCAAATTGTGCTTTAAAGGGCTCGCTGTAATCCAGTGTTTCGGGTGTGTTTGCATGCAGCTCAGAGCTTTTTATGGTTGTGGGTTTAAGTCACCTGCTCGGACACCAACAGCCGCCCTGCATCCATCACCACGATGGATCCGTCTGTGACACCGATAAATAGTCCCGCAGATCATTATATTGCCTTAACGAAAGAATACATGCAAGAGGAATACAGTAATGCTGTGTTTTTAAACCTCTCAATATATGATTTATATTATAATCAGTTGGCTCTGCGTTCGTCGATTGTCGCATTAGAATACTGAGAAACGAGATTTAAACCATATAAACCAACTGGCAGCAGCATCAGTGACGTAAACATCATGACAAAACGCTTCAACAGAACTCATTTTGAAGGAAGCCCCCATGCAATAATTGATGACGGTATAATATAAATTAATAGTTTCGGGGGGTTTATTTAATGAGTATTATTTCTTGCATCTTTTTTTTCCTTCGCGTCAGATGAAAAGCCCCTCTATTTAATCCAGGGGGGGGGGGGGGGGGCGGTACACGATTGTCTTTGAAGTAGACGCCGGGCCTCGGACTGCATAAGGAGCCACGGTTGTGATTTGCAACTGTTGAAAGTAAAACCCTCAGTCTGCTGCAGGAAGAGGGGGAAACGGGGGTAAATCGAGGAGGGGGGGGGATCTCGCAAAAGAAAATGGTATCTTTGTTTTCTCTCCTTTGTTTACGACAGGATTTCGTTCTCATTTTTCCTCTTTTTTTCCCCATTTTTTACTAATTCATTTCAATGGCTTTCAAACAGGAAAATGGAAATGTTGCTCCTGCCCTCTATTTCAGCGGCAGCGTCCTGGCAACAGAGCAATTTTCTATCATCAGGGATAAACGGCATCGAACAGTACATTCTGATAAAAAAGAGCCCATGATTGCTGGCCTTCCTGTCTGTCATCCATCGACCAAATCCTCTCCTTCAAGACCGACCACTGTGCTGTCAGACCTAATAATGTCGCGTATTCAGCAGAAGGAGGTGTGTGGGGGGGGGGGACGCACACTACGCCACTGTGGTCTTATATGTCACGGAAACATTCAAATCAACTTTTGGAATATGTAGCTCCTTTTGTTATTGATTCGATATACAGGATCCTGCGTATTCATCAGATCTTAGACGATATGCAAAAATATATATTTATGCGCACTGTGCACAGTCTGTGATTAAAAAACGAAAATTTGAGACAATATGGACACCTTGTCTTAATTACACCGGTATGATGCGCTGTCGTCATTTCCACACAGTTCTGCTGATCAGGTTGATCAAACCCATTGCCACATTTCACCAAACGACAGAATTGCTGGATAACTCTAGTTTCTCTTCAATATTTCAGAAAAGAGTGACATCGTTTAAACCCCCCCCCCCCACGCGAATGCATCAGTCAGCTGGACCTAAAACATGCAGGGAGAGGAGGCGACAAGAGAAACAGCAGTCTTAATTAAGGACTCGGCCCTTGAGTGGGACCAGTGCGGATTCAGTCTGCCAAATTAAATCCATTAGTCCGTGAGAGTCTGTGGAGACTCGGTGCTACGCGGCTTCGCTCTATATGTGGGCATTTACATTCTCGAGCGACACACTACGCTGGGGCCCCCTGAAAAGCCCCGCTCTCCCGTGCCTGGGGGCCTGCATATATGCAATTTATCTATTTACTAAAGAGATAAAGGCATCCCCAATTATGGATGCAAACTTATTTGTAAAAGGACGTGCGCCCGGGGGTGCGTGGTTTTTCTTTACGGCCAAACAGCGCTATTTTTTCTGCGTGTACGTCTCGCGCTTTCGGGAGACACATCAAAGCTTTGCATAAATTGGTTGGCATCAGTGCGTAAACCATTTGGGCACGGATGGATTCTGATCGCATTAAAGGCTGATCGGTGATCTTTTTTTGGGGGGGGGGGGGCTGTGAGGGTGCGCGTGCATGCATGCATGCATGCATGCATCTGTGCGGAGGGGGGGCTGCTCCCTCTCATGCATGTAGTTACATGAAACCGCGTTACAGCTTGACAGCTGCGCACGGGGAGAGTGCATCCGCGTGCGCTTCACACGGCAGACACGGAGAGCCGCCGTGGACGCCCGGCTGTCTGTTTATTCGCCAGCGGCTTTGCGCCGCGGAGAAGGGGAAACGTGTTGTTTAAGTGCCTCCCGGTCTCTGCCTGCAGGTGACAAGCCTCAGCGTCCCCAAAAACCTCCCCGGACCCCCCTGAGCAGCCGCGGAGGTTGGCGTTGCACCGACCGCAAGCGCCCAGCCTCCAGCTACAGGAAAGCCCCGTGTTCTACTGGAAGTCCGTGTCGTCGCTCATGTATGATTAACACGTGTGGCCAAAATAGACAAGAAAATATACGTGCAGACTTTAAAAGAAGAAAAAACAACAACAACCGTGACAGCAGTCAGTGACACACATTGGAAGAGGGAGAGAGACAGAGAAAGTAGGAGAGGGAAGTGGAGAACAGCTGTATTTCATATATTTTGAACCGTTTGGAAACGTGTGCACGCGTCTGTTGTCCGTAAAGGACCTTGCCCGAGCACGTGCTGATTTTTTTTTTTTTTTTTACCAATTTAGGTTTAAGATGCCACAGCTCGCCTTCGAAACTGGCAGCGACCGTGTTAACACTACAAATAAGGACAGGTTACACCTAAACGCGCAGTAAAATATTCTCAGTTTTCGTGTATCCCGACGTGGACAGCGGACGTGAGGGAAATCCCATCAGGCCTGGAGTGATTTTTAGAGAGTCATTCATCAGCGTTTATAAGACAGCTGGAAATAAAGACCACTTCTGTTCAACCGCCACGGCCATTGATTGTGCTGAAGGTCAATCATCTACTTAGGGACAAAGTGATTTCTACATTTGCAGCTGAACGCAGTTCATTTTTTTGTGATTGACATTTAGACGGAGGTGAGATATGAAATAATTTCCCTCCAGGAACTCTTAATATGACGGAGGGCAGGTGGAGTAGGGTCCGTCTCCTTTTTTTTTTAAGTCTAAATATTTTGGATTTTAAACGAATTATGTCCACTGTCCCTTGTATAGGGAACCGCTGGTTTCGCCACGTGCCTTCCAATGAGACACGGTTGTCAGCAGGCATCTTAAAACATTTCGAAAGCACCAAGGTCGAGCATGTCATGTCGTCTGCGTTCAAACAAATCCGTCCTTTCACCACTTCACTTAATCTCCGCGTGCCTCCCGCAGCACGCCTGCGGGACACCGAGGCTTTGGGTGTTAACCGCGCAGAACACCCCGCAAAGTAACAACCACAAGAATCGTGCGGCGGCGCGCAGAAGATGCCGCAAAAAGACGTCTGATCTCAACCGAGACCGAAGATCGTGCACTGAACATCGCTGCAAAAAAAAAAAAAAAAAGCATGTGCGTCTTTGTAGTAGCACTCAAAAGGCGATTAGAAAAGGTATAGGATCTGGTTTCTCTTCTGCGTGTCCAAGTGGAACACGGGCAGGGGAATTGGCCACTATGTCAGATCACTGAGGGGTGACCAAGGTGGGCTGACTTCCTGCGAGGTCTGAGCGGCCACACCGAGCGCCTAAAATACGGAATTATCAGAGGCAATCAAATCATTCACCAGAGTGAGGGGGACATACAAAAATTAAAAAAAAGCAGGAGCATTCAAAGGAAGCTCTTACCTTCAGTGCTCCTGGCGACAAAAGAGGCAGCCTGTTTGTAAAATATAATTTCGAAAAATAGAAGAGTTTTGGAAGCATGAAATAAATCCTTTCTTGGGGCTCACATCCCTGCCTCTGTGCTCTCGTGGTCCGCTGCTGTAAAAATGATTTATCCGGCTGAGTTGTGCACTTTTTAAATCCCACAAAGTAAATAACAACCGGAACGATAATAGCAAGGTACCAAGTTCTGGTTACAGAAAAGGAGAAAATTGAAAACTAAACGCTGCATTTAGACAACCATTTTTGATAAGAGGATAATTGAGGCGACGCTGGCGTATAATTAGGGGATAATTTATGCTATATCCACTTTTATTCCACCCTCCCAAAATAAATCCGGTCCATAATCATTACAGGCGAATTGTTCTTAATTTTATAGCTGCAATTTGAGTAAAGTGTGGCCGCTAATCAAATAGGTTTTCGCAGTAACTTGATTGCTACCATAATTATTCTTCATCCTCTATTTTTTTTTGGGTAAAATTGCTGAATGCTACATTGTAGACAAAAATGTGTCGAAAGTGGTAATAAACATAATTTGAATACCTACTGCGTTAAAGTACGTGGAAATGTCATTTGAATCTTATATGCGAATCGAACGTGGCAGCGCTCAGAGGCAAACTGTATAATTTACATATATTGAGGACCATATCCGGCCTCATATTACAGCAGGGATAAAGGCACTGTCAGTTCATCACGGTATCCACCCTGCTATGTGCAAAATAACCTATTGTACCTCAGGCATATTGTTATTTGATGTGTCACATGTAGTGTGCTTTCAATTGTCTGAAGATGCTTAATCATATGGTCAGTAGCCTTTGGAAGTAATATACGTTACTTGCAGGGGGGGGGGGGGGGTTCTAAGCAGGACTGCTCATTAGCAGACATCAAAGTAAATATTGCACTGCAAAAACAATTTAATTTAATAAACACTTATTCTCGAACAGTAATGTTCAAAAATGAAAAATGAAAAAAGTAAAAGTATATATGTGTATATATATCATTTGTCAATAATTAAAACGCTGACGTTAAAGGCTCGTTTCCAAGCTCATTCCACCTGTTTGAGGACTTTCCTTGACATAAAAAATGATCTATTCTTATTTATTAGATGTTTAAAAAATCTGATTTATAAAACGACTGAGGTTTTTCTACACTTTGTGATCATATACAAATTTGATTTAAAAAAAAATCTATTACAACTAAACATTTATTTAGATATTTTTGAATGAATCTAATAGTTCTTGAATCATTTTCATATTAAAGTGAATTTCGACTTGTTTCACTCTTTGTTAATCACGATGACTATTGCTGCATCCCTTTAAGGTATTAATTCTCAAAGAGAGGAGGAGTTAAAGTCTGAGAAACAAGAGGCACATAGACGGCTGGCTAATTAAGCGAAATCAAAGAGCGTGTTATAGGCTGCACGTCGTGCGTAATTTGGAGGGTTCGGGTAAAAAATCGAAACCGAATTGGCGATTGAAAAAGAGTTGTTTTTACGTGTGAAGCGTGTCTCTTGGAATTCTGCGTCTTTCCCACCATATATTATTTCCCCAGAGTTGTGGTGGGAGCTGGTAAGGTGGGTTAACTCCAGCTCAAGTCTCCGTGAAACGCAGAGCACTGATGACGTTGGGTTGGATGACCAATCGGAAGGCGCTGCCCTTTGGAGACAAACCATTTTACTTGTAGCGTCTGCATCAAGTCTGGAAGCAGGGCTCAATTTTAACAGAATCCACCTTAAAATCTCTTCCTTAACTTATTCCTACCTTCCGCTACTTTGAGCGAGAATATCACACAACGAGGAGGGGGGGGGGGAATAAAGACGCCGCTGGAAAGTCCGGGTGTTAATAGGACAATATCTTTTCGCGGTGGAGAGAGGAGAGAGACAACAGCAGAGCGAGAGAGAGAAACCCGATTTGGTCTTGAGAGAGAGAGAGGGGGTGAGTGCTCTCAAGGCAGAAAATTCGATGATGACCATGACTACTATGGCTGACGGTCTGGAGGCTCAGGACTCGTCCAAGTCTGCTTTCATGGAGTTTGGGCAGCAGTCGCACTCACAGCAGAGCTCCCCGTCGATGGCCAGCGGCCACTACCCGCTGCACTGTCTCCACTCCGGCTCACACGCTCACCACCAGCACGAGAACGGCGCGTACACCGGGACCAACACCTACAACAGGTCGTTACCCTACCCCTACGTGAGCCACCCGCACCACAGCCCGTACCTGCCATCCTATCACAACAACACGGGAGGACAGACAAGGTTAGACGGCGCAGGTAAGAGACCCCTTTTTTGCACCATGCCAAGTGGAGAGAAAAAAAAAATGAAGCACCGCGTCGCGTCCATCCCAGGCGGCAGGACAGTTCAGCCATTAGCAAGTGGCTTTTCCCTTTTTCTTCCTTTCTCCCCCCTCCTGCCCAGTGTTGGTATCATGCCACAGTAAGTCACGGCACGGCCACTCCAAATTTGGACGAATGATCGTTCAGGTGGGCGATTACGCCGAAGAAAACCGCGCGTAAATGGCACTGGATAATTCTCGATTCAGCCCTCTCCGACTGCTCGCTGTCCCGCGTAGCACTCCTCTCGCTTCCCACAAAAACCCGTTTTAATGCCCGGGGTGTGATCATCACGACCGTGCAATCCTCACCGACTACTCGTGAAAATTAGGCAGCCCGCACGCCTTGAATGTTGTAATTAGCATTTAATTGACATGTCATTACCAGCAATATCCCAAATATGACAGCGTATGAGGATTGTGGCTGCCACGGCGCCTAAAGGCAATGCGAGATATTCCGTTTTTAGACAGTTTCATTCGCCCCCCCCCCCACTCCCAAATTATTTTTTTTTCTTCGCGGAATTTTCCACAGCTGTTTAGACACGCTTGTGCTTTTGCTGCACAACAAAATGCACGATATCCGCCGCGGGCTGCGGGCTTGAATAATAACATTGGCTGTTTTTGTTGCAGAGCAGCAGAAAACGACGGTGATCGAAAATGGGGAGATTCGCTTTAATGGGAAAGGCAAGAAGATTCGCAAACCTCGGACAATTTATTCCAGTTTGCAGCTTCAAGCACTGAACCACCGTTTCCAGCAGACACAGTACCTCGCTTTACCGGAGCGCGCCGAGCTGGCTGCCTCTTTAGGACTGACACAAACCCAGGTACGAGGAGGAACTCACTCTCCACACGTTGACATCAACGCCTGGAAACCACATGTGCATACCTAGTACAAATATCAGGACATTTTTACTAGTATTATTATCATCATTATTTGGCTGTGGGTGTTTTTGTTTGGCTGAGGACCTTGATTTATTTATTCTTATTCTACCGCACACTAACCAACCGTTGCCTCAAACTCAACGCAGGCTATTTCTCCACGTCCTCCACTAACTGCATGCACGCTTCTCCCCCGCAGGTAAAGATTTGGTTCCAGAATAAGAGGTCAAAGTTCAAGAAACTGCTCAAGCAAGGCGGCAACCCGCACGAGAGCGACCCTATGCCGGGCTCCATGTCCCTGTCCCCGCGCTCCCCGACCATCCCTCCGATATGGGACGTCTCGGCGTCGTCCAAAGGAGTAAACATGCCGGCCAACAGCTACATGCCCGGCTACTCTCACTGGTACTCGTCCCCGCATCAGGACTCGATGCAGAGATAGACTGACGAGGCGGGAAGGTCAGTGAGCTTGTCGGGAGGCCTCCGGATCCCCGCCATGCAGTTTCCAACGTAGCCTACAATTTGTGTCAGCGGAGAGACTGAATGCTGGAGAGGAGAAGCACCCCTCGGCTGCAGGATAAAAAAACAACAACAACAACAACAACAAATACACACATACACACACACAAAAAAAACGCAGCCAAGCCTCGGAGTTGATGACACAAACAAGGGAACTAACCATTTTTTTTAAAAGCGTACATGGCTGTTCGATGGGCTCGCATATTTGTTATGCTTTCATTCATGTCAACATCTGAACGTCAATATACCAAATATTATCAGTGACATTTCCGCCACTTTGGGCAAAGACTGTACACTCTGCGTGCGCCGTGAGCCTGTCGACGTGGTGGGACTCCTGTTTTGGGGTTTTTTTTTTTTTTTCCCGGGTTGTTTCTCCAACATGCAAAACCAAGCAAATTGTCTGTCTGTAAATATAATCTGCGATTTGAGTTGTACATACACTTTTTATGTTTTTGTCAGATTGAGTAAACCGTGACTCAAAAAAAAAAAAAAACAAGACGCCTGCTGTTGCATGATTTCATATTCATTTGAAACTGGGCCTTTTATTTTATGCATCATATTGGGCCAACATCACATCATAGCGGGCCTATTTCCCGTACCCCTGGTGTGTACGCGCGTCAAACCGACAACACGAGGTAATGACACGGGGCTCACTGAAAAGCCCATTTTTACCAGAGTAAACATTTTAAATAATTCCAAAAGCGCTTGGTGGCTGATGAAGCGCGCCACTGTATAGATTTATCACACGCACTGAACACGGGAGGAAATGAACTTACCCTGCCCCGCTGCTCTCTACATTCACCTCCAAAAGACATTTGCTCCAGGTCCAGCTTATCTTGTCATTTCACCCTCAATTATTAGGAGTATTGACAAAATGTTTTCTCCCTTCCCTCCGTCCTAATGCAGGCCGTTAAATGCCAAGCTCCACGGGATCGATGGTGAACAAAGCAGCCAGCTGCAGCAGCGTTCAATATGAAGGAGATATTTGGGACAATTTGTGGGTTTTTATCCAAGTGAGGCTTTTTTTTCCCATTCTCATAAATGCAGGCATAATTAGGGTAATTTTTGATGTAGCCCGCTGATTACAGCGTTTTTACCGTCAAAGATAATTACCTGTAATTTTCTACCACTTTTAATACTAAAAGGCATCTTTATTTGGATTTGAGGTAGCACAGATGGAACAAAGGGGGAAATTATTCGGTTATTCACATACAAATTGCCGAGAAGAGCGAGGGCTCGGGATATTATCTGAAATTACCACGCTGAAAAGCTTCATGCAGCTGTCAAGACGCGGATGTCCCACTGGCGCACATTCAGCCTATACCTGGTCCCCCCCCCCCCCCCCCCCCACCAGACTGGGGGCCTATCTGCTCACGGGGGCCGTGCGCACCCCGATCCGCAGGCTGCAGGGAGCCCGAAGCAGCAATCGAGTCAACATCAACAAGGCTCATGAATACACGTCGGGGTTATTCAGCTCCGAGAACTGACGCGTTTCATCGTGTTTTGCAAAAAGAAAAAGAAGAAAAAAAGGCGCTTTGATGAGCTAAATCACATGAAATAGATTTATGGCGTTAGATGAGAGAAAGATAAGAGATCGGGTGAAAAGACAAGACAATATGGAGACGCATGTACAGATAGATAAAAGTTAAGTGCAGCACGGTGAAATATGGGGGGGGGTCGGGGTGGGGTGGGGGGGTCGATAGAGTGACGCGTCTATTCTTGCTCTGTGAGCCGTAACAGCACGGAGCTGATGCCATGAAGCGAGCTTCTCGTATAAAAGCTCCTCTCACAATGATCCCCACGCGCCATAGCTGCACACATCACAGCGACCCTCTAACCCACGCGCCGGGGTTATCTTTAGGAAAAGGCGAAAGGTTTCTCTGGCATAGCCCGGGCCTGCACGATTTAACCATAGCGAGTCATTCTCAGCCTTAACATCAAGAAAAGCCACGAGCATGAAAATGAGACTGGTCCTTACCTTCCTCCGCTTCCCTCACACAGACAACCAGAAAAAAGAGAGCTCTGCACGGGGTTTTACTGCCGGTGGTTGAATAAGCAAATCCAGGTGGGAAAGTGTTTGCACACCCCGGTAAGCTCTTATATATTGCCTGCAAAATTAGCTGTTATTACTGTCACTGTTTAGTGATGGCAAGCTTGAAAAAAAAAAAAAAAGCCCTCTGCAATCAAGAACCAAGCGCATCTTTGCAAATTATAGGTAATTGTCAATGTCCAGATTATGATAATGGCAGCCCTAATCCTGGAGAATAATTATTGTGGAGTGTTACAGTTGAAGCCGTCCAGTAAAGCTAACTGTCATTATTTAGACTCGATTTGCAAAACGGGGGGAAACTGAGTGGAAAATATTCGGTTGGAAATAAACGGGGGGCTCTCGATATAATGGCACCGCTAGTGTGTGTCTGCGTGCGTGTGCGCGTTTGTGTCTGCATGTGCGTGCAAGAGAGAGAGAGAGAGAGAGGAAAGAGAGAGGGACAAATGGTTTGGGGACATACAGTAGTGATGTGTCTGTGAGAGAGATATTGAGGCCTGTGTGGGCTCCATGTGCACTGAGGTCGAGCGCGCGCCTGAGTGGTCTTGAGAGCGTGCACGTGCAGTGGGAAGGATGTGCATTTCTCCAGTGACCTGCTCGCATTGCAATGACACGGCCACCGTTTAGTCTGCAGCATAAATTGGGCCGAAAACGAACTAACAAGCAGGGTGGCGTTTCAGAATAAATAAAAAAAAGATGTTCCCTTTGCTCGTGCGTGTGCGTGTGTCTGTGTGCAACCCGTGTAGCGTGTAGGCTACAATCACGAAGAGGAATTGTGTGTCAGGTGGAAGTGGTAACATGCTTGGGTCATTGTGGGTCATATGCAGTCTTGCGTGTGTGTGGTATTTTTGTGAATCGTGTTCGTTTGTAAAAACTCACTTCCATATCTTTGAGCATATGGCCGGGCAAATTCAATTAGATCAATTTTCAAATCCCCAATGTTTCCCACAGTGGCACGGTTTGTTTGGCCGCGGTGTGACTGCCTGCTAATAACATGGTGAAATCGTGGAGGATTTTCCTTCCCTTTTCTCTCTCTCCCTCTCTCTCTCTCTTTTATTTCACCCGGAAGGTGGGCTGCGGCCGGGAGTGGCAGGGCTCTGGAGCCGGTCTACCCCCACAGGAATGCGGATTGTCTCAGATCTCCGTGCCGCCCCCCCCACCCCCCTTCGCCTCCTCTCTGCCATTCAAAGCGGCTAATTGTAGGGGACACAAAGCAAGAGCGACTGCAGACTGTCTGCAGCGAGGAGCCGGCATTTTCTCTGCAGACGAGCTGGAAACCCGCTGAAAGGCTCAATCAGGTTGTCCGGGAAAACACAATGCGAGTGATGAAAAGGTGATCATTGGTGACCAGAGGCAGCGGGGAATGGAATCATAATAATTCATTACAGAATATTGGATGTGAAAGGGAAAAGTACACAGCAAAATGCTGTGGAATTATTGTTCGACAGCAAAATACGGATTACTACAACAATGTCCGGATACAAAGCATTTGATGCAATGAACTGGATTACATGCAAAATGATCAAGCAAATGAGCCACTTGACTCGTGCACACACTATTAGTCTTTATAAAATATTATAGGAATATTAGGATTAGTTTAAATCACAATATAATTGACAAATCAATCCAGTAACGCCGGTATCCATTTTTAATGATTCGTCTGGTAAGGTATTTCCAACACATATTAGTTAAAGGTCTGTTTAATACAATGATACATTTGCTGTCTTCACCAAATGTAGATTAAAAATAATGCCTGAGCATAAAGGAAAGGCAAATTCAGAAGGCAGATATTTGTGTAGCCCCCCTTCTACACCATTTTAAAGTAGATGTAATACAAAATGAGACATGCGTAAATCACAGAATAAATATAACTCTTGGTAAATCTGGCGAAGGAGAACTATAATTCGGATATTTTATAGAGTAAGCTCATCCGGCAACCGCTGTGATTTACAACCTGTCACCTGAGGCTCCCAAACGTTATTGATGTCTGTGAGTCTCTGCCGTGATTTTCAGAGTAAATAACCGAGGGTTAAAATAACAAGAGACTGCAGTGAGGCCGGAGGTTTCAAAGTTCCATTGTCCATTTAAACGTTTAATAGTCTTTCAAAATGCAATAAATTACATGCACACATTTACACATTTTACACGTTTCTTCTATGACTGTCAAATACATTGCATATTCCTCTGAATTTTGAACACGAGTCCCATAGAAGGAGGAAAAAAAGAAAAAAGGAAGAAAAAAAAAGATCTGCAATGAACAACAGGTTTTTTTTGTTTTTTTGTTTTTTTTTCAATATAACGTCCCCGCTCCAAGAGCCAACGAGTGCTGTATCGAGTTAGGGGTCTGCAGGTGGGCAGCCATGGCGCTTCCGGCTGAGGTGTACCATGACCCAGAGTTTTCCAAAAAGTTAGAGGCCGCCGTGTTGATGTTCTGCGGCTGTAGGCTATGCGGCCTGGAGGGGCCCTGTGTGTCCCAAACGGCCGGGGACTGTGGGGAGTTGCACACCATAGGGTCGCTGGAGCTGGGGCTGTGCTCCGGGGGAAGCTCGCCGTTTTTCATGATCTTTTTCAGTTTTGATCTCCTGTTCTGGAACCAAATTTTTACCTATAGCGGGAAAAAAAACAAAAGGGGAAAACGGCAGCATTAATATCGCATACAGCCTTTTGGAAACAATGGATTCGGAGGAGGCGCGGTGCGTAAAAGGCGCACAGGGGGGAAAAAAACACCAATACTGTCACGGTCATGATAAACATTTAACCCCAAAATGAGTCGCGGCAGAATTTGCTCTAGAATCTCACCTGTGTTTGCGTCAGTCCCAGCGAGGCGGCCAGCTCCGCTCTCTCCGGCAGCGCCAGATACTGCGTGTTCTGAAACCGCCTCTGCAGGGCGGCCAGCTGGAAGCTGGAGTAGATCGTCCGGGGCTTCCTCACTTTCTTCGGCTTGCCGTTCACCATCCTCACCTCCGGCTCGCTTATCTCTTTTTCTGTTGAAGTAACGGCAGCAAACATAAGTATGGGAGCCTATTAGAAATTGCAAATACTTTTTAATGTAATTCTATCTTTATCTGCGTATTGTTTTGTTTGGGTCATCGCCAATCTGTGAAACCCAACAGAAAATCTAATATAAATCAAAATTGGTTAAAAATGTCCTACAAATCCTATTAAATGACGCGGTTAAATAAACATTAATCAGCATCACATACATATTTCTTCATTATGCACATTTTGCACATTTTCTGGATATTTAAGTAAATCGGGGGGCAGCCTGCAACCGTCGGGAAAAATGACAAAGTTGTTTCTTAACCTACATATTGCAATTCAGGTGATCGTCTCGTGATCACCCAACAATGCTTCTCTCTTCAAATAGTAGAATAGGTGGGGAATCTGCGGCCCTTACCCTGCGGACTCGGCTGGGCTTGCACTCTGCTGTAAGTCCCCGCATACTGGTGGTAAGCGGGCGTCGCGTACGAGCTGTAATCGGTGTAGGATTTTGTCGAGTAATTTCCAGCGGATCCATTTACACCCGGGTACTGGTACTGGTAGGCGTTGAGAGGCTTCCCGTACGAGGTGGAGCTGGGCGAACAGTAGCCGTGCGTGACTCCCCCGGCGGGACTGTAGTAGCCAGAATCCGTGGCGGTGGACTCGGGTAAAGTGGGCGACTCCTGAGAAGGATGGTGCATGGTGGAGAGTTGAAATGAGCTCTGGAAGTCTGCAGATTTCACACTCGGGATCCTCCGATCGAATACTCCAGTCATACTTCGAGAGGGAACGCGTGTTTTTTTTTGTTTTATTTTGATTCGCAAAAGACTAAAGATGAAGAAGAAGAAGAAAAAAATCGAGGCGGTCTGACTCCAAAGTGGTGTGGAAACTACACTGGCATTGTTGAAAAGGCTCTCGGGCCGTCGGGCTCTGGTGAAGACTGCAGGCAGCCCCGCAGCAAAGACTTGGTTAAATCCTAAATCGCGCTCTTACGCACTGCAGGGAGGATCTGGTTCCATTGGCCAAGGCGCACACATACACAGCTACACCCAATTCACTCAGCCAGCTTTCTTATAGGGGGGAAACCACCCGGGCTATGAGGCTGCATTGTTGTGTTTTTATACGATCAATCAATGGGAGCAATTAAAGTGCTGGCCGTGTCACCAATCGACGTTTAAGGAGGATGAATTACTTAAAACTTAATTATTAAAAAAAGACCTCCTGCTGCAAGACGGACCAGTTATTACGATCGAATGTATTAGTTTTGTATACACACATTATATTAAAATCCCGCTCAATTGTATTTTATTGTGGTGGGGTTTAAACACCAAACTAAATGACAGCACACAAATCCAATATTTCAATCATCGCACATGATGAATAGCATATATAGTATGTTATTGAGCACATTGGTTAATATTTGTGATTTTAACCATCACATAAACTAAACTGGATAAGATAGTGTGTAACTAGATTTGACCAATTCCACAATATAGAAATAGACTGGGTTAAAATGTTCAATAGGACGAATATATTAATCAGCCAATCAAATGCATGTAATGTTCTATAACACCTTACATAGTTACCCACCCCCATGGCCCTTTCTCTCTCTCTCTCTCAAATCAATGGCAACTGACTTAGATTGGCGTGAACAACAACAAAAAAAAGTAAAAATTGACCAGCTCCCCCAACGTGGTCATTGAAGATTCATATCTTCAAAGCCCGTTGCCCAGAATTCAAAATCAACGCGCCTTCACATTCAGTGGTGAACAGCGCCGAGCAGTGGCCAAACTGGAGAACTGCCATCCACGTTCAGCCGGTTGTAATCATATTTCATTGTGTGTTTACCAAATTTAAGGGCACGAAGAATCTGATCTCTCCTTAAGAAGCCATCTATTTTGTTCATCAAGGGAAACACGCAATTATTAAGACAAACTAGTTTGGGAAAACCGCTTTAGGTCTTTAGAAATAAATAGATTACCATTACATTGTATCCAGTATCATTGGTTTTGTACCATGCACTGATAACATTGTACCCAGTATAATAGACATAGTGAATAGGAAACTAGATTTATTAGACAGGTGTTGTGTCAAGGACCGTTTCTCCAAACCAAACAGCCATGCTCTTCAACCACCAGCGGGGGCGCTGTCCCTTAAGACGCTATTTGAGGCAACATTTTTAATTGCACTCAATTATCCGAAATAAGCCGGATGCTTGTCACGGATAACAGTCTATTACACATGTGCATTTACCCTTTCGTCGTTCTTTCACTGGGAGATAATTTATACCTCATAACGTTCAACTCTTACCTGTGTAAGGTAGCTACGTCATTACAAAACCAAGATTTATATACCATAAATCATAAATTCCGTCTTTTATACAAGCCGACAATTAATCTCAACAACCCTAACCCTAAGTATAACGTTACCTCACCTCGTTAAAACACCACCTTCGCACCTTTCCAATGTTTGAACTAACAGATAACGTTCGATAGTATACGGGACTACGTGTTTAAAGATTGTTTAAATACTTTTCCGTTGGCTTACCTGACTTTGGTACCCCGGAAGTACTCCTCCGACTGCGGCGACGAATTTCGTCCTGTGCTGTTTTGGCTGTGGACAAGTTTTTTCTACAGTATATGTTTTTTTACTCACTCTGTATCGCGTTCACATGTTATATGTGTTGTGTTGTATAGTTTTAGTTCACGACAAATGGTCGTCTTCTCGTGAAGAAAACCCATATTGGGGTTGTTCATTATGTTTTCGAGTCTTGGGAGCGCGCGCATACCATATAACAAGATAGTTCCCCTCCAAATCAGATTAACGTATAAAACGTACTAAAACTTTATTCATATATTTATTTACAGAACATAATAGAGGAAATAATTCGTATACAAATTGAATTTTAGCAATTCAAACTACTGCATTGGAAAACAAAATACATATTTTGTGAGATACAACCACAAAGTTAAAAAAGGTTGCCCAAAGCCAGGGAGTGACCAAAGCCGGAAGTAGAAGGGAGGGAACCTCTTGGCCTGCATGGGTCGTCTATCGGCTATCTTTTCTCTCGGCTCTCGTTGTGTGTGCTGGGGGGATGGGGCCGTGCCGAGGATGAGCGACTCCAAATATTTACCACTTGGCTAACTAAATATCTTTATTTCCATACTGAGCAGCATTCCTCGCTCTTGCACATAGACATACTTTTCGATCACGGATGAGTTACGGTGGAGTTTGGCCAAATTGAAGTGGAGTATCCGTACGTCACGACGCGCTTAAAAAGTCGACAAAATGTATTCCTCTCCTGGAGGTAAGTGGAGCGGCTAACGTTAGCTAACTTGGCTAACATCGGCTAAGTGATGCCGCTAGCAAAAATGAACACACAATTTGTAGCATTTAGCTGCTACATGTATATTTCTGGCACACGTACTCGGCTCATTTTTAATTCTGCTAATAGTCATGGGAATCGCAACCGATTTGTTGATCAATAAGACGCAGCCCGGTCTTAAGTAGTGTTGCTACTAGGAAAGCAAGCTTAGCTAGCGTGCAACAACAAGACGCCGCTGCTAGCCAAGTTAGCTTCAACGCTAACGTTACCTCGTTTCCCGAACTTGATGTTGGTAGCAGCCCGATCTGATATCGTGGTGTGGGATCGATCGGCGGATGTTTTCCCCAATACGCTGTGCTAATGTAAACACGGCGATCGTTACGATGAGTGTCTCACAATCTGATGCATGTGTACAGAGATAAAGCATTTTTTTAGCGGCCGACCATGCTATCTAATCACCAATCTTAGCGGTCGTTAGCTTACAGTATCTAACTTTAATTTAGTTGTGTTTCAACGTTTTCGCCCACGGTTCACATTTTCCGAAGCCCTCCGATCTCGGTGTCAATGTATAACGTAATGTATACTATAACATAGAACGTTTAATAAAACCCACGAAGTTAAGCATATGAAGTTTGGTGTCAGATGACTCTTTACTCTTTTTTTTTTTTGGGGAGTATAAAAATATGTTAGAATATTGTAGCTGTTGCTGCGTCCTAGGTTTTTTTATTCCAAGGAAAAACATGCACAAACAATAACAACACTATATTGTATTTCTTAGATTTAGTAATTGCCTCGGTTTCCCCCCCACGCTGCCTGACGGAATTCTTGTTTTCCTTTGTACCAAATGAAGAGTTTGATCAGGCCATTTCCAGGAAAGATCCTTTCCAGGAGAAAGGGTAGCTTTAACCGAGTTGGGAGGAATCAAGTAGTCTGGCAATCTGTTTGCATGTTGATAAGAGTTTTTTAAAAAGCCACCCTTGAATGTGGACCACGGCATTCTCGTTGCGATAAGAGAGGAGAACCTTCTGAATTTAGCTTCTGCCAATCGAAATTTACCAGTGTGGATGAATGTTACTTTGCGCCTCTTCTCTTTTTCTTGCCACTTGCTTCTTAAGTTCTTAAGACTTAACTCGTAAAATGAGTAAACCTTTTATTTCTGTCATGTATTAACTGATCCAAATGTATGTTTCCCCTGTTGTATGTAGTGAGTTACAGTCGGTATCGGATCAAATGGATTTTGAGCATTCACAATGTTGTATTATGTCCTCTGCAGCCACCGAGATGCAAGAGGGACCCCGTTCCACTGGGTCAACAGGCTCTGGTAAGCTTAAGCGTGAGCTTATACTGGTCCCAGCATGTGTCCAGTTTAAGTGGCAACATCACCCTTTTATTCCTTCTTTTTATTACACCATACAAGCATCACAACACAATCTACACTGCTTTCAGCTGTGATTAAATCGTCCAACTGAATAAATAAATTGTCCAGGAAATGGGACACTTGTTGCTTGCTGCTGTAAGTGAGACTCCAAAGAAGACACCTCCCAGTCTAAAGCCACAGTGCGTTACTGGGTGTTATGGGTGTTGTTCTGTTGGACAGAGCTGACGCACAAAGATAAGGCGTCGAGGGGAATAGAGGGTCAGCCAGTCTCCCTCTAATATCTTATGTGGCAGATACAAAGCTTCTAGGTTCAGCCTGTCAGCCGATGATGACGGTCCTAATGTTCACACATGCATGCCGGTCTGCTCACAACGTCAATAGTAATTTCATTCAGCTAACAAAGCCAGGTGTTAGATGTAAAGGGAGAATTGATTCTATAATGGCGTGCAAGCTTTTCTTTAAATAAATTTTTCTATCATCGGTATTTTTGAGAACTACAACTTGGTACTAGTTGACATGGCAGAAGTGGTTTTGATACACCACACTGTCTTTTTATGTATGCGTATATACGTCACATTGTCAAAACATACTTATTGCGCTATCACGATGCAAGATGTCCATAGAATGTGATCCTTATTTTGCAATTTGCCACTTTCCTACATTTGACCCCCCTGTTTTAGACCCGCCATCCTCCCCAGTGCCAGAATATGTGTTCAAGCCACCATCAAGGCCCGACTTTGGCACCATGGGCAGGACAATCAAGCTCCAGGCCAACTTCTTTGAAATGGAAATCCCCAAATTGGAGGTCTACCATTATGACATTGACATCAAGCCTGAGAAATGCCCCAGGAGGGTCAACCGGTACGTATCAGTATGTCGCCGCTCCCCACCCCCCCTCCGGGGCCCGTGGCGGGTCAGTTGGGGAAATGTCATTTATTTGTTTTCATTTTGTTCCCAAGGGAAATCGTGGAGCACATGGTCCAGCACTTTAAAACGCAGATCTTTGGTGATCGAAAGCCAGTGTACGACGGGAGGAAGAATCTCTACACTGCCATGCCCTTGCCTATAGGCCGAGACAAGGTATGTACACTGCATGCAAGGCAAAATGCATACATCTGTGTCCAAAGGTGTTCAGTCTCGGATAGCACAGCGCGGCCTCCGTCCTTTTTATCTTTTCTTTCACGTCTCCCACCCAGGTGGAGCTCGAGGTGACCATTCCCGGCGAAGGCAAAGACCGCAGCTTCAAAGTGTCAATCAAGTGGGTGTCCTGCGTTAGCCTGCAGGCGCTGCACGAGGCGCTGGCGGGGCGGCTGCCCAGCGTCCCATTTGAGACCGTCCAAGCCTTGGATGTGGTCATGAGACATTTGCCCTCTATGAGGTGGGTTTAAAACTAATACAATCTATGGATGAATGAATGAATGATTGCCCTGCCCATTGTTGTCAAACGACCTCAGTGGATTATTCTTTCAATGCTTTTCACGTGCTGTGAGTCGCACACCGGCAGTGACTCAGCAGGTGTGTGTGTGACTCACGGCACGTTAAAAAGCTTTGCGATTCCAATGAGTGAGATCCAGTGGCGAAATGGAAATTGACCGAAACCAACTTAATTTACCACCCGGGTGAAACCAATCCAACCCAGCTGGACTGCAGCGAGCGTGATGGAAAAGTGTGGCGCTACCCGATTTTCATCCATCTAAGTCGCTGCGATCGGCGTACATTTGTTCCGGCGTGCAGAGACAATCGACCCGTAGAGACGTGCTGTTTTTCTTGTGTGTTTTTTTTGTAATAGTTTGTTGACTAACTTCTGTCTCCAGCACACGGTTTCACCACTGACCCCTCTGCTACAGGTACACGCCGGTGGGCCGCTCTTTCTTCACGCCCTCGGAGGGCTGTTCGAACCCCCTCGGTGGCGGCAGAGAGGTGTGGTTTGGCTTCCACCAATCGGTCAGACCGTCCCTTTGGAAAATGATGCTCAACATCGATGGTAACGTTGGCGGCTGATGGTACACAGTTGTGTCTCGTCGAGTTCTTCCCCGCGTGAGCCTCACTCCCACGTGCCATGTTTCCTTTTGCAGTTTCTGCCACCGCGTTCTACAAAGCTCAGCCTGTCATTGAGTTCATGTGTGAGGTCTTGGATTTCAAAAGCATTGAAGAACAACAGAAGCCCTTAACTGACTCGCAACGAGTGAAGTTTACAAAGGAAATCAAAGGTAAGAACAGTTCAGGAGCTCTCAGTAGTAGCGACGGAAGTCTTTGCTTGTCAATTCCATTTCAAAGTCTTTTTCTTTTTAAAAATTATTTTTAATTCTGACATCTGTTCACAATTAGATTTTTATACGACCCTTCCGTTTTCTTTAGTCACATGCCATTCAAAACTGGCATATATAATCTAATAATAAATATAAAAATAATTTAAATATATTTGTAATCATTATTCTGTTTTCCCTCATTGGGATTCCATCTTCCAGGCCTGAAGGTGGAGATCACTCACTGTGGGCAGATGAAGAGGAAGTACAGAGTGTGCAATGTGACCAGAAGACCCGCCAGCCACCAGACGTAAGAAACCTCTTGTAGCGCCTCTTTTTTTCACTTCATCATCATTGATCGGACTCATGCTGATGTACTTAAGCTGCAGTCAATGCAAAATGTGCACGGAACATAGAAGAATGCATAATTATGTAATACACCGCAAATGCGAACAATATGGCATTCATGCATTTCTTTATTAAAATAAAGTGTTATCTGATGGGGGGGGGGGGTGGGGGGGGATTATTCTTTTTTTTTTTTCTCCTAATTTTTCCCGTTTATGTGCTTCCCCTCAGGTTCCCCCTGCAGCAGGAGAACGGCCAAACTATCGAATGCACAGTAGCACAGTACTTCAAAGACAAGTACAAGCTCATCCTGAGGTATCCCCACCTCCCGTGTCTACAGGTGGGGCAGGAGCAGAAGCACACCTACCTACCTCTGGAGGTAAGCGCCGCTTATCTGCTCTGCGACGCGTCCCCCAATGCACCATGGATCTGCCCTCTGAACCCGCTTTGTTTCCCCGCGTGTCCTCCCCAGGTGTGTAACATAGTGGCGGGACAGCGCTGCATCAAAAAGCTGACCGACAATCAGACCTCCACTATGATCCGGGCCACCGCCAGATCGGCACCTGACCGCCAGGACGAGATTAGCAAACTGGTGAGTTAACGTAACCTTACCTAACAATAAGATAAGATTTGTACTGTTTTAAGAAACCACGAGTGATCATGTAGAACCCATTTCTTACAATTTATTTAATCTGATTCAAGTTAAACTATTCGGCGTCCCAGAGTAGCACAACCTGTAAAGAAAACCGAGCAATGAAGCAATATAGGAGATTGTAAGGGGGCCTCACACAGTATTATGTAAGGCCCCCTTTAGCATCAACGGGGGCTTGCTGTCTCTCTGTGATGTCCTCTTTCCATTTAATTTAATTCCACTCCTGTGCCGTTTTTTCTTTTCTCCACCAGATGAGAAGTGCCAACTTCAACACTGACCCTTACGTGCGTGAGTTTGGCGTGATGGTGCGAGACGAGATGACAGAAGTGAACGGCCGTGTCTTACAAGCACCTTCCATCCTGTATGGAGGCAGGGTACGTTGTTGATGGCGGCTCGTACCTTTTTTCTTTCTTTTTCACTTTACTGCAAATATCTTCAGCACGTGTTGGTGTTACGTTTTGTTGGGATAACTTCATCTTGTGTAGAGTGACGGGCTCTAATGAGCCTGCTTGCCTTCTGCGATTTGCAGAACAAAGCAATAGCCACACCGATCCAGGGCGTGTGGGACATGAGGAACAAGCAGTTCCACACCGGCATCGAGATCAAAGTTTGGGCCATCGCCTGCTTTGCTCCACAGAGGCAGTGTACGGAGCTCCTGCTCAAGTGAGTGAGGTTTCATCGTGTGCATGTGCTGTGTGTTGGGATGTCGGCAGGCAGCCCGTGTTTTAAGGCCGGTGGTCTGTTTCATCTTTAAATTTATTTTTGTAGAAGTGCAAAAACACAATGTCAAATGTTGCAATCACGGTTGTAGCAACGGCTTAATGCTTTCTCATTTGATTCGGGCCTCTATTGGGTCAGTTTTTTGGTGAGCGTGTATGTTGATCATCAGCTTATTCAGAGAAAACGTAATGTTCTCAATTTCCAGTGTTGCTAAGTTAATTAAGGTTGTTGTTGTTGCATTCATTTATTTATTTTTAGTTGTCAGCTTTCAAAGAATTTATATCCTTTTGCAATCCCATCCTCTAAGCTTCACTGGACTATAAATAAACGCCCTCCCCCACCCTGTTTCAGGGCGTTCACAGATCAGCTGAGGAAGATCTCCAGGGATGCAGGGATGCCCATCCAGGGTCAGCCGTGCTTTTGTAAGTACGCCCAGGGAGCGGACAGCGTGGAGCCCATGTTCAGGCACCTCAAGTACACCTACCAGGGCCTCCAGCTGGTGGTGGTCATCCTGCCGGGGAAGACGCCCGTCTACGGTGAGCGATCCTCTCGTGCATATCTGTTGTGTCGTTTGGCATGATTTTATATTCCTGCTTTGGAGATTAGACACTTCCAGGACGTTGGTATTTACAGCCTAGGCTATCGATCGGTCGGTATGCCGGCCCGCGCCCCATGTGATCCAGCACCCTAACGCCAGCGTTGGGCCGGATCGTGTTTAATCGCTGGATGTTTGGCGTTGCAGCTGAGGTGAAGCGCGTTGGCGACACGGTGCTCGGCATGGCCACGCAGTGCGTGCAGGTGAAGAACGTTCAGAAGACGACGCCTCAGACCCTCTCCAACCTCTGTCTGAAGATCAACGTCAAGCTGGGCGGGGTCAACAACATCCTCCTCCCGCAGGGCAGGTGGGTGAAGATCCCGATAACTGAACCCGTGCGGACGTCTTTGGAGCTCGCCCCTCATGTGTCTGCGTTGTGGTTTCCAGGCCGTTGGTCTTCCAGCAGCCCGTGATCTTCCTCGGTGCCGACGTGACTCACCCTCCCGCGGGAGATGGGAAGAAGCCGTCCATTGCTGCGGTATGTAAAGCCTCCTCGTCACAAGGCGGAACGTGTGCACATAGAAGTTCATCGTTGAAAACAGCGTTTCAGCTTCTTTTTTTGTCTCATGCAACGCTAAATTGTATCTCCACGTTTTAGGTTGTCGGCAGTATGGACGCCCATCCCAGCAGGTACTGTGCCACGGTGCGGGTGCAGCAGCATCGGCAGGACATCATCCAAGACCTGGCCACCATGGTGAGGGAGCTGCTCATCCAATTCTACAAGTCCACCCGCTTCAAGCCCACCAGGATCATCTACTACCGCGACGGCATCTCCGAGGGCCAGTTCAACCAGGTGATACACATATCAGGGATGAATCCGAGTGACCTATTAAATATCGCAGCAATATAGACGTGTGTGTGTGTGTGTGTGTGTGTGTGTGTGTGTGTGTGTGTGTGTGTGTGTGTGTGTGTGTGTGTGTGTGTGTGTGCTGGGCAGTAGTGGCCATGTGAGTAAATCCTGTGTCTGTGTAAATGTTGTGCGTGTTGCTCGGGTGGATTTGATCATCTATCTTATTGACTCTTGAGATGCAGGTCCTTCAGCACGAGCTGCTGGCGATCCGCGAGGCCTGCATCAAGCTGGAGAAGGACTACCAGCCCGGCATCACCTTTGTGGTCGTGCAGAAGAGACACCACACAAGACTTTTCTGTATGGACAGAAACGAGAGGGTCAGTATGGAGTCACCGTGGGGAGTTTTGCAGACAGTGTTTGTGTTCTTTAATATTTTATTTTTTAACTTTGCTCCAATTTCACGTTTTTCTTTATCCTAAAGAAAAAACATCCCGTAAGGAAACCATCGTAACCTACTAATGCATGATTGCAGGTTGGCAAGAGCGGCAACATTCCTGCAGGCACCACAGTGGACACCAAAATCACTCACCCATCAGAATTTGACTTCTACCTTTGCAGTCACGCTGGCATTCAGGTGAGCGCTTTAAGAAAAAGGGGTCCGATTCAATGGCTTTTGCTTTGTGCATGAAGACCACCTAAGCAACACCACGTTCACTCCTTGCAGGGTACCAGCAGGCCGTCTCACTACCATGTGCTCTGGGACGACAACCACTTCTCCTCGGACGAGCTGCAGGTCCTCACCTACCAGCTATGCCACACCTATGTGCGCTGCACCCGCTCAGTTTCCATCCCAGCACCAGCTTACTACGCCCATTTGGTGGCCTTCCGGGCTCGCTATCACTTGGTGGACAAGGAGCACGACAGGTAGGCGCCGTGTTCGGCTCAATCCAAGGTTGCCGGAAAGGTTCAGGCGACCCCCCCCCCTTTTTTTTTTTTACAGTTCTATAATTGTACCGCTTTGCTTCTTTCAGTGCTGAGGGCAGTCACACGTCGGGCCAGAGCAACGGGCGCGACCAGCAGGCCTTGGCCAAGGCCGTGCAGATCCACCAGGACACCCTGCGCACCATGTACTTTGCCTGAGAGCACACGACTCCAGGTTGGCGTGGGCGAGACCCCACTGACGGAACACACTACCCCTCGCCGGTCTCCAGTGGGCTGTAGATAGTCCCGGTGGTTTACACGCAGCGATCTCCCTCCGAAACGGGCCTGCCGGTTACCCATAGGTCTACAATTGTACTGCAGCCCCCCCCCGCCCCGAACCTAACCAACAAAGCCAGCTATTAGACTGTAGGATGCAAAAGAATCCCTGTTTATTGGGGTTTGTGCTGGAAGAGTTTTTTTTTTTTTTTACATGTGCATTATTGTGCGTTTGCATTTGTCATAGGGAAAATATGTTGCAAAGAACGAAAGGAGACGTTTGGAAGAAATATCTAAACTAATGCGTCGTGCGTATACATATGAGGGGGTTTACAATTAAGAAAGAAACCAATTACCCTCCTTCTCCTCTTTGCATCTGTTTTACAGCGCTGGGTGCTTCAGGGGAGAAGGATCAAATTCGTCAAAAGAAAAGGGGGCTGTTCACTGTTCATATGCCTAAAGATCTGCCCCTCCAACAAACATTATTTATCAGCCAATCAGTGCACTGACCAGAATGGGTACTTCAATCAGGACAAGAGTACTTAGTTTATTGAGAGGGTTGTGTGTGTGTTTTTTTTTTTTTTTTTTTGTGTGTTTTACATGGGGCACTATGATGAAATGTGCCATTTGAGACCACCTTTCTGTTGTCGTTTCTGTGTAAAACTATGAAAAATTAGACCCATATTTGCTGGGTTGTCCACATTCGTCACTGACGACCATTATGCCAAATCTGGTGACAATTGCTAAAGGATTCGTTGCGTCAGATTTGTCATCAACCCTTGAACCGACACTTAGTCCATTCTAGCTGAGGGCTGTTGGGGGTCAGACGGGCGTCTGGAGGACAGCGATTGTTGGTCTGGACTGAAATAGTTGCTCCAGTGACCCAGTTCCCATGCCAAGACGTAGTGTATTGGGACCGGTTCCCAACCAGGAGAACCTCTTCATGTAGTCTGAGCCGTGTTGACGAGACCCATGATTTAGAAATCAACATGGAGGGCCACCTTTTTTTTTTTACCTCCCGTTTTAAAGTCTAATTAATTTCAATCGGTTTTGTAATGGATTTGCATGTAGCGGACTCAGCTTTAGACATTTGAGATCGTAGTTAATTTCTTCCTTTTTACACATTAACCCTACTTGTATGTTTGCTTTAATGTATATAGCAGCAGGGCGGTGTTTCCTGCGCTGCGTTTGTCTGGGCGGGATGTTTGTGTGCCGTCTCAATATCAAGGCGTTCGGTACAGTGGAGCAAAAGCTGCACCGCTTCAGAGTTAAACCGATTGAAATCCCCTTAAAAACAACAACAACCACAACTAGGGTTTGCTCCGTGAATCGGGAGCAGTCGTCGCACAAAAGCTTGGGTTTTATGCAAATGACTTTTTGTGAGTCTTTATATTCTATAGTAATGTTGGTAATGAGGTATATTTTGAATACGCTTTCAGTGGAGGCTGCTGACGATATTATTATTATGAATTCTTTTTAATGGCCCATATGTAGTCTAAATTAACACTGTCTATTTGTATACAGATTTTAAATGCAAATATTATCTTGCCTTCTAAGACTGTTACGGTCTTACTAATAATTCTAGACATTTCCTAACATCCCACCTGCGTTTTACTAAGTTGAGCTAGCGAATGTTTGTATAGTCTTGATTGGAGGCGAGTAGTCCATATTTTCTAACTATGCATCCTTTTTAACCAAGAGATTTAGCAGTGGCATATCTCCCATGAATTAAGGTCATTTATAGAGATAGATAATCAGGTTTCTTTTTTTTTTTTTTTTTGGGAAGCATGTTGCATTTAGTAGCGTTTCTTAGTGCTTATCAGCATCTTCATGCCTCTCTAACAGGATGAAGTGTTTATGGTCATTTGTAACATCGTAGGTTTTGTAGCCTGAATATTTGGTATATCCTTTGTAACACACAGTCTTTCTTAGCCAAACAAGATTACAAAACTTTTACACGATTAATATTCAAGAGAACTTGGAAGCACAAAGAGGCCATCTTGATTCTAGGTGCTAGAGGTTTTCACTGTAAGTCACCTTAAATCCTCACTGGACTGATCATCGAGGCTTTTTAACGTGTACGCTTAAAAAAAGATGCTTTTGTCATTTTGAGGATCTTTTTCTCTCTCTCTCTCTCTCTCTCCCCCTTTTTGACGACCTCTCTGTTGCTCTTTTTACTCATTACCTGTAAAGCAACTAGAAATCCGACTGACTGTGTTTTGTGGGGCATTCAGAAAAAAAAGAAAAAGAAATCATGTACTTGATATTTACTGTTATGATGTCAATATTGTTCTAATCGGTGCTGGTCTCGCAACGTGTAAATTTGGATGCACTTTCGATAGCCGAGCGTTGGAGCGACTCCTCGTAGGCGCGCGCGTTCCTCATCTGGCGCCGCGACACCGGCGTAATTGTATGGAAATGGCCGTGTGTTCTACCTCTTGTTACCTGTTCAAGTGTTATGGTAACATCACACCGCTGGCCATTTCTGTATAATTACCCCTGCTATCTATCTAATTGGCATTGTGTGAGTGTCGCATTGACATTGGAGGTGTTGGAACGTTGGCCGCGGCACGACGGCAAACGCGCTTTTACTCGGTTGATGTAGTATTGTGATATTTCATTTGGTGTTTTTACTCAAACTGACAAAAGAGGACGTTTTTTGTTTTTCTTTCTTTTTAGGGTTTTTGAGCGTTGAGCTGTATGACCAAATTCCTGCAGTGTGTTTGTACTCGCACGCCTCTTTCCCTGCGTTCTTTCCTTTTATGCTATGCACCCCATGGAATCAGACTTTTCCACCCGAGCAGTAAGACCACCGATGCAAAGCCCACGTCAGCTGTGATCGTTGCATATATCCTTGAGTTGGAGAACACAGTTAAAGTACCCAAGTGGGGCCGAGCCGGAGAGAAAGAGCCTCTTCAGCCGGAAAAAAGGGTTTGCGCATGTAGAAAAGAGAAGAAAGAAGGTTTTACGGTGTGTGTGTGTGTGTGTGTGTGTGTGAGAGATTTGAGCCTTCAACCACTTACAGAATCACCGCAGAGCTAATTCGTGCTATCGGGCCATCGCGCACAATCTGACTTTTGTTTTTCAAATTTTTTTTGTGCACGTGTGTCCGTCGATGGTAACAGATGCAGCCTGATGGAGGCGGAGCCCCGTTGTCGGGCGTGTGTGTGCGCGTTTGGAAACGTGAACGTCGTATTGCGTGGAGGGCGGGAAAGTGGGCGGGTGCTGAAATCCAGAACGTTTCCGCAGGCGGTCTTTGTAAATTGTTCTTCTCCCGTTTGTGTTTTAACACAACCTTTTTTTATACCAGCACCTTGAAAATATCAGATCCCAGCGCCATTGCTTTCCCCTGGAGATGGAAGTCAAAAACGTTTGACGATTTGTTGTTTTTGCACTAAACAAGGAGAGACTGTTGTAGCTGCTGCAGCATTGAGAGAGTTTATCCGATGGTCCACTGGCAGCTTCTTTTCCCCACTTCTGTTGTTTAGAAAAGAGCCGACATTTGTGGCTCCTCAAAAAGTACAGTCCTCCCTTACAGTTCACGTAGCTTTTCCTTTTCTTACATAAATCTGCTTGGTCATACTGAGCTACATGGAGACTGTGTGGAGCCAATAGGTGGATGCTCCACGCGGGATGAAGGTGGCGCTTCTCTCCTAGTGGCAAAACCCCGACGGCATCACTCCACCTCGGTTTGGCCATTTTTCCGTAGCGTTGAATGTCCAACATTAGGAAAGGGCGTCTTGTAGACATGGCTGGTTTGTAAGCTAAACTGCATATCATCATTAGCTGATTTAGGTTTTACATTTATTTTATTGATTCCATTTGTTTTCCTCTACTTTAGCAAATATCTTTAAGTGTTTGGTTGAAAGAGGCTGGGATTCAATTACTCAAAGTCCAACAATCAGCAGTTTACGTTCCTTTTTTTTTTCTCTCTACCTTTTGAATGCTATTGGAATGAAATACAGCCTGACTTCCAATGAAGCAACGACCGATACATCCGTTTTTTAGTAAAGTTTCTCCTTTCTGCCTCTCATCCGTCTCTTGTAGAGAACCTATTGCTGACATGAATAAACCTCTTGTAGAGTAGAACCTATTTTCCTATCTCCAAATAATAACAATGAATGTACTTAGAGCTTGCTTGGTCTGTAGTACCCAGTGCATTTATACTATATATGTTTGCTTCTGTGTACAGCCTTTTACTTTTTGTTATTCCTCTTATTTATAGGCTTTTAATAATTGCAGAAAGTATGTTTCTTTTTTTTTTTCTTCTTATATTTCATTGATTCCTCCCAGCTGGTATCGTCTTGATTAACAGGAGGTATGCAGATCTTCGGCGGAGATGTTCCTCCTCTGGGGGTCTGCTGCTGTAGTCTCAGGAGGCAAACGTTGTACACTGTTGCAAAGCGTGGTCATCTTTTCTGTTTCTGCCGTCATGCTGGTCTGGGTAGCTGTAACATATAAGAGCTGTGTGTGTGTGTGTGTATATGTATATATGTGTGTGTGGGTATGTGTGTATATATATATATATATACATATATGATGGTTGCTATGGTGTTTGCTGTTAGATTTTTGGCGTCTGCCCTCTGCTCTGATATTCCTGTCCTGTAAAATCTTCCCAAAGTTCAGCTCACTAACTTTTTAGCGCTGGGACACTTGAAAGCTAAAGGTTTTTTGTTTGAGTTTTGCTTCTGTTCCTTACTTATTTAAAAAATAATAATTTGGAGATTGTATTCCTATACATGTTTTTGTTTTTTTCCCCCGGGTCTTGAAAAGCACAGTTTGTTAATTGGATGGATTGCATGGCAGTCGTCTGGCTTCCGCGAGTATACGTTTCCTCTTCCTGGATCACTTTGTCCTTGATAGCCTCTTATCATGCCAATTTCCTCCTGATTACCTGATTTTTAACGTGTTTTTAAGCTACAAGTCAAACGTATTGAGCACAAATTCAAATGGGGTACTGGCAGAGCCGGTAAAGAACCATTATTCCCATTATTCCCTAACGTCCACCGGATGCAGCCGAGTCACCTTTTGGCTTCTCACTACTTAGGTCTCAGTTTTGGTCTCCAGGCGTTTTTTAAAGAAGTGCCTTGAAGAACATTTCTATTGTACTTATTGAGCAGGTGTTTCCTCTGGTGACCACCAGCAGGTCACGGTTTCCCTTCTGGAAATATCCCTCCGCCTCAATGTACTCAATGGATTGGAACAAAACTTTGCATAAATTACATACTCATTTATTCCCAACGACAGACCCATTATTATTTTGGCGAAAGATCGACTTAACTTTTTGAATTTGTCCAAACGAGGAATGAATCTCCTGTGAGCCTCGGCTGTACTTTATAGTTGGTGCTAAAGAGCAGCTGTAAGCGCTCTACACGCTAGCGAATGTTAGCATGCTAACATAATAAACTGAGACGGTGACATTGGTAAACCTTTGTACCTTCTTGTAGTGTGGAGCATATTAGCATTTAGCTAAATACTTCTGTGCTTCACCCTCGTTCGGCCTTCATTGGCCCATCGAGTAGATCGGCGCGCTTCAGCTGTGTCCGGCGGACATTTTGGAGCCACGGAGCTTTAGCCTAGCGTCACCTTTCCAAACCAACGCCACCCGACAGATCTACGTGTATCCGACCGTGCAACACTCATTGGTATTTTTGTATTTTTTTTCAAAGCATTTCTTATCTTCAGAATGACTTTGCTTTTTATTTACCAACTTTGAAAGAAAAAATAAAAAGGAGAAACTACCTCAGAGCCGTGTCAGGTGCTAGCTAATATTAGCCCTCGTGGATGATAATGGTATCAAAACTCAAATTGTTGTGACCAAACAAATACAAGCCAATATTGTATCAGAGCACTGTTCTTTTCTTTGACCTTTTTATTAAAATGGAGAACCGAGTGATGGCGTCTGACTGGTTGGTTGCATTCTGGGGGACCAAATATCTGTAATTGGAGTCTCATCGTTTCATGTGAGTCCTTCAACAAAAAAGAAAGCAGCGGAATCCACCGAGGGCGGTTTGTCGACTAACGTGGCGTCACGGAGCGTCTGCCGTTCACTCCGTCAGCGTGTTCGTATTCCAGCAGGAAGTAGTCGGGGGGCCTGTTGGTGGTTAGTGTGTCTTTGCGACGGGGGCCAACGCTCCATAAACATGTTTCCACTTTTAGCCATTCAAACGATACTTTGCGGTGCACTCCACGTGATCCAAATGCCAACAGCCCCCACCCGCCCCCCACGCGGTGTCGACCCAGTGCTACGACAAGATGATCCTCTCCGCCGCTCCTACGACCAGCCAGACAACAAAAGTTTTTGCATGAAACAATTAACAAAGGGAAATATAAATATTTGAACCTGCTTTCGCCAGGTAACCGAACAGTGCAAACTTCCAACGAAAGGTACACGTGAGGCTCTGTGGCGAATCACTACAGAGAACTGAAGACACGCAGGGTGTTTGTAGTCCTTTTATGTGTGCCTTTTTTTTTCTTTTTTTTTTTCGTCGGATTGCTCTCCACTCCGTCTGCCCTCAAATTGGGTCTGCGAGTCTTTTGACGAAAATCTGCTGCGCCACATACGAGAATAATTTCCATCTTTTTGATTTTCCGTGCAACCTTGCGTGTAGATGCTGCATAGAACGATCAGTATTTGTGTTTTGCACTTTCAAAAGCAGTCTCAAAAAGTAAAAAGAAATAACTGACGAGGTATTTTATGGTATCAATAGGAATTATAAGGAATAATATGACTTTGAAGAGCTTTTCTAAAAAGGTTGGTATATCTATATATATTCATGAAGTACCTCACAAGCCTGATATATGCTGCATTTACTTTTTTTTTCTGTAATGTACTTCATATTGTCCAATACATTTTTTTCCATTTCCCCCATTTGGGAGGTTTGAATGTCACTACTGGCTGTGCACGCGCCTCAACCAGTGAATCGTAACAGGAGGGCGTTAACACTTCGCGGCCAAATGATGATGTCATTTATGCAATTTCTACGCAAATCAGATCATCACATGTAGCTGCATCATATTTCTGTCCTTTTGTCTTTTTTATTTATATATATATATATATATATATATATATAATCGGTGTAGCCAAAAAAATGATCGGGTTTAGTTGACGACGAGTTGACGCTCACAAAGCGTCCAGCGAGGCTCTGTGGTAAAACACGACTGTTGACTCAGGTATTGTCTTTAAAGGGCTGTATCTGCTTACTGTGTCCCTGCCCCTTATCGCCCCCCTGTCCCGCCACCTGCACCGGTGTCTTAAAACAGCCTTCGATCTATACGCAAGGTTCCTATTTGGCCTTAAAGTTGAGCAAATGACGCGCTTCAATTTCACCGTCTTGGAAGAGAGCTGGATTCCCATCCAGACACCACGTTCTCCTGTTCTTCGCGTCTCGTTATCTACCTCCTCTGAATGTAGCGGCTTTTCTGGAATTGTAGTCTACTCATTCAAGGAAAAGAGACAATCTTCTTTTAGTTTTTTTTTCCCTCTTGGGCCATTTTCATTTTCTGCATTGTGTTTTTTCCCCTTTTGAAGCAAAGTGACCAAAGTCTCTTGGCAAAGGCAGCCCTGCACAGCCGTGTGAATTCAAACCTCCCTCCAAGTGTCATTTTGAGCTCAGAGTTGTATTTTTTTTCTCTCCCTCACTTTTCCGTTTATTTAAACCAAGACATGCCAAAACTGAATTTGCTGTCATTCCTGTTCTGATGAGGGTCTTTTATGTTGCCGATTTTTAAATTGTTCACATCCACTGCTAAGCTCCTCGTGTCTTGTTGTTGTAAAGGTGTCAGCTTTGATTTCTATTCTACATTTCCTTATTTTTGTTAACAATAATGCTTACACAACACAAGATATGCTGTAAACCCCGTTAGGACATAATGTGAATACGTATCACTTAATATAGTTCACTTTTTGGCTTGACTGTAAGTTGCGTTAATTAATAAAATGTTTCAAGTTTTCCTGTGACTTTTCTGGGGGGGTTTTCACAGCAGACATTTGGACTCGTCAAAGTAAGAGCAGGCGCATGTGTTACTTACATTAACGTTGTTATATTCAGTCTTAACAGTGTGACGTGAGCCAGCATGCACAATACTACACATGACAGGTAAATGGGATTCAACCATTACTCGTTTTGTGCTTCTACCACCATAACGTGTAGTGGGCAATAAATGGCAGAAACCTTTAATGGCTTTAGAAAACTGTTTAATTCAAGCGTAAATCAGTTAGAACATTTTTACCTATTGTCACCATATGCTATTAATGCGGTTGGAAACACCTAGAAAGAGCGTTATTAGTGACACCTTTGGTTTTTCTGTCTGTTGTGAAGAACAGATTTGGATTAAGCTTCAGGGTTGAACCTATAATTTTCAAAGGAGATGTATTTAACTTTTTCAAGCATTATTAAAGAACCAATCAAATGTTTTCTAGGTGAAGGTACAGTGGAGTAATGATCTTATATGCATTGCAAAACAATACTCAAATTCAATTGTATTTCATTTTTAATACCCTCTAATAATTTTGCCACTAGTATTTTCTTGAATTAAAATTCAAATGCTATATTATTCAAGGACTCGGGACCTTTCCTCTATAGTACTTCTATTCAATTCTACAATTGTCAAAAATATACGTATATATATATAAAGCATTTGGCAACTTTTGGTATTTGAGTTATTGATACTTGGTGCTTGACATTTTGGTTCAGCCCATAATGGCATTTAAAAAGTAAACCATTTTATGAGGTTAATTAGTTTATTCATCAGAACTTATGAGAAAACGGTTAGCAGGGCTGTTTTCTAAAACATGGCACAGGATGAGATCATATAGAAATATACGCTGCAGAGATCATACATGGTCATTTATTAGGTGTTTGGTTGTGCTGTCCTAAAGTCCTAGACGGGTAGTTTTTTACTACCTAAAACACGTTAAAAACATGTATTTCCCACCCAAAGTCTTATATCAAATCCCACATTTACGTTGCCCTGCAGTTAAAATACCAATCACTTTTAACAAAAGGGTGAATTTCAAACTTTATTTGGAGTAGGATGGGTTTTGGCATACTGCAACACTTGAGAGAAGGACAATAAGGAGGGACTTGATTTGTGCCACACACATATATACATATATCTTTGTGTATATATGCAAAACATTAACAAATTGGCTCATGTAGACCGTGGAGACAAGGGGGTCAATGACTAGATGATCTTCATACAGGGTAATTAAAAACAAATCAATGGATGGATGTGTGACAAAACACTACACTCTATGCATGTATAAATCACCACACTGATGAGCTACTATAAGAAAATAAAAAGATAAACAGAATTAGCATCATTTGATCTTGAAAAAGCTTTTTATCTTTTACGTACTAGAGGAGTTGTGCACATACGGGGCATTTTCTTTATTCCTGCCCCGCTGATCCTGTGGACGACACAGATGAAGGAGTTTGGGGCCGGCTACACAAAGACACTAAAGGATTAAGTAGTTTGGACGTGAAGATAAAAAAACGGCTACACGGGTTGTTCAGGCGTGGCAACGGTGTGTGACGCTGACTCAGGGTTCTTCTCATCCGGCGCCTCCACTTGTCTTCATGTTGGAGGACGGGTGGACGTCCACCAAACACAGACGGACAAATTATATCAAGGGAAACGACTACAAAATAAGAAGCGTAACTACGTCAATAAATTAATCCAAAAATATGGCCCGAGTACGTGAGCAGATTTCTTTGTCTCGTTCTCAATGGAATTCCACATCGAATAGAAAGATCTTTTGTAAAAAGTTATAAAATAAATAAGCACTCTTTCCCTTTGAGTAGAAAAAAAGTTGCACGGCGTGCAAGAGGAGAAAGAGCAGCAGGATTTCTTTTTCCTTTTACTATTTATGTTATTTTGCAGACGCGACGCTGCCCTCCTCCTCCTCCTCCTCGTCTTCGGCCTCTTTGGTCACGGACGAGCGAGCGTGACCCCCCTGCAGCCGGTCCTCAGTACACCCAGTTCACCGGGACCCACTGGGGTTCACTGCACAGTTTGTCCACGCCGGCGTGTAACGTCTCGAAGGCCTTGTCCAGGTTGTCGTTGACGATGGTCAGGTCAAAGTAGTGGCTGTAAGCCCTTTGGATCCGAGCGCTCTCATCCACCGTCTTCTTCAGGTCCACGTCCTGCCGACACACAGAGGATACATATATACATGTATATATATATATAGAAAAAACAACATATATCAGGAACACTGGCAGAGGAGTCAATCACCAGGTGGGCAAATAAAGGCTGACTGATCTGATGGGACTTGCTCTCAAGAGGAAGGAAACAACAGCAGGTAACATTCATTAATATTCATTATTGCTGTCTGTCCGTCTGATCGGGAAATACGTTGACTCGATTATCTTTGCAGTACTTTACACTTTTAATGCGGTTAGCGCAGATTAATATTTTACACTAAAATAACAGTTGTTTGTTTTTAAACTACCCGACATCTCCTACTCTAATCGGTAATAACGCTCCATTATAATATAGAAATACAGAGAGGGTCATTGTGTAGTAAAAGGGTCATTTTAAATGTTAAATGTTGCTACAACTTTGAGCACAGGACAGATCTCCTCCATGGCGGTGCGCATGCGAATGTGTGAATGTACAATCAGGCGGTAACGGGTCTGGTTTTTCTTCTTGCATGGGAGCTGTTAACGCACCGTGAGTTGCTTGCTGGTGATCCCCGCGTCCACCACGGCTTTGTGCATGGCCTTCAGGGTGTCAAAATCTGGCGCGGCAATGAACACCACGTACGGCATGAACTCGGCTGTTTTCAGCACTTTCAGAGCCTGAGGAGAGACACAGCCGGTAAAGCCACCTCATTAAAACATTGAGTCATTCCCCAAATCCACCTCACGTCCCTCCGTTATGTTTAAAGGTTTTTTGCTCACCTGCGGGTTGACGTCCAGGATGCAGGTGCGCCCCGTGCCCACCACCTCGTGGATGGACTCGATCTTTGTGCCGTACAGGTTACCGTCGTACTCGCCGTGCTCCAGGAACCGGCCGGCCTTCACGTCCGCCTCCATCTCCGTCCTCGAGGTGAAGTGGTAGGAGTTTCCGTCCAGCTCGTCGTCGCGGGGCCGCCGCGAAGTGTCTGGGAAAGCGTTGTTTGAAGGAGTTAAAAACAACCCCCTTCTTTTTTTCTTTTTTTTTTTATGTGCTACAGTGTGAGGGAGTTTTGGAAAAGGCCAACGTGTGACGTACAGGGCATGGTGGTGCCGAACCGTGTGGGCTGCAGGACCATCAGCCGGTTCTTCAGGCTGCGTCGGCCCACGCCCTGAGCACCAATCAGAACCAGCGTCTTCCTCTGGAAGGCCGGCACCTTGGCCACTTCCTCGTAGATCTGCAGCTCGTGTCTGTCGAACTCTGTTCAAACGCAGGCACAGCTGTTAGCCGACACAAGGAGGAGACGATATAAATGTCGACGGCACAGAGAGTCTTCTGACCGGCATTCTTGGCCGTCAGGTACATCATCTTCTTCTTCTTCTTCCCAGCTATGGTCCCACAAAGGATTCCTGCACAGAAAGAAGGCACATTTGCGCCTGCATGTCTTTGCAGTCACATATATTGGCCACAAGGGGGCAGGCGTGGAGCACTTCTGTACATTTCTGTACTGTTTAATTTAGTCATTCAAGCTATTGTGACAAAAAACAGTGAAACATTATGTAAAATGACCTGAGAGCCTAGAAGACAAACCGGAGAGAGAAACATATTACAAAATAAATACCCTCGATTGTACATCATATCTTTGTCGACGTTGTCATGGTGACGTGACACGCTATTTAGACCATTTCCAGGTGTGAAGTCCCTGAGGGTTCAGAGTTCACGATTTAGGGGGACATTGGGATTGGACCATAGACTACACAGCCCTCTTATGCCATAAATCAGTTTTCAGTGGTAAAAGCAATAGAGAGGTGACCGTAGGTCAAATGTTCCACATCAGGAAACTCACTAACATACCTGATCCATCAAAGTCTCGGGGGACAAACGCTTTCCTTTTCTCCTCCAAGAACTGACTGGGTATCAGTCCGGTTGCCCCGGCGACGACATGGCACGCCTGGCACATGTCAGATTCAGTTTATTCTTAATCTTTAGGTCTCTGTGATTTTAAATGGCAGCCACTCAAAGGAAATACATGGCGGAAAGCTCACCTGCCACCAGTTGGGATCCTCTCGGTTGACAATCTGAAGGATGTCGCCCTTCTTGAAACCCATCCCCGCCTCCCGGCAAGGGATCAGGCTGTCATGTGCTGGGTCGTAGTCAAAGTACGGCCGCACGTACACCTGTGACAGACACACGCACAGTTTGGAGTCTCAATGGCTCGTTCGGAATTAGACCGAGTTTGACGGGTGACAAAGGACGAGACTCAAGCTCAGCGTGCTGTCTCACAAACTGACACAGCCATTTCACCCGGCGCCCCGCACTGCGCCCGCCGCAGCTGTTCCCGCTGCGCCGACATAGCGGAGGCCTTTGCCAGGAACGGTAAGTGCTCCCGCTGATGAATCCCATTAAACAAGCAGCCAGAGGAAGCAATAAAACAACTCAGTGAAAACACACGGTGCAGCCGAACCGAGCCACATTTCAGGATGGGATTTTTTCACATGATGTCTTATTCCGTTTTTGTGTTCTTCGCTCAATTTAAGCATCATAACGATTTCCCAATGCACGTCTCATTTGTTTAAGATGCACAATTATTCCTTTTACTCAGGAGCCACAACTGGTCGAAAGGTCCGTAGTGCACGCATGAGTTACTGTACGTTCCATATGAGGAAGCATGAGATCACTAGAAGCACGTGTGTTTACGTGTGTGTGTGTGTCTGAGACAGAAACAGCTAGTGTGACCCAGATAGCATGTGGAGTGTTATTAATAGGGCTCCCAGGGTTCACATCCTCGCACAGGGGATTGTGGGAGGGCCGAAGAACAGACCACGAGCCGTGTGCCACTGGCCAACATCTGCCACTCGCATAAGTGTGTTTACATTATCGTCTCGTTTGAGATTCCCTGTGAGCGTTCACCTGCGGAGGGGCGGGAGCGTCTCGGTAGCTCGGCAGTATTTTCAGCGTGATCCCCCCGCTGCAGTCCTTCAGCATCTCCTGCAGCTCGGTGGGATTGTTGCCGACGTCCTTCCCGTTCACCTCCTTTATGATGTCGCCCACGTGGAGCAGACCCTGTCTGTCAATCATGGCGCCGTGAAGGATTCTAGCGATGACGAGGTCGTCCTTCTCCACGCGGAATGTCACGCCCTGAGAAGGAGGAGATTAGCATACCCACGATCCCTCCGACATTATAGGGATTCACTTACTCATTCATTTACGCAACCACTCCCCTCCAACAGTACCCGCACGCGCACAGGCAGACACGCACACACACACGCACAAGCAGACACACACACACAGGGGTCTTTCTCGGCTCACCAGTGGCTCCCCGGCCTTCTTTCGGATGCCAATCATGCGCACGGCATCCGCCTGCATCAGAGCGCTGTTCACTGCCGCATCATTGGTGGGCTCGGTCGGGGGCGGGACTTCGTAGCACTTAGAAGCCACCATGTCATGTGCCTCCAACAGAGACTGCAAGCAAGAGACTCTATGAGTGTTTTCTCCTGGCGCTCCTGTCGTGTTCAACATTATCCTGCCAGTGTCACATGTAGCCAGAGGGAATAGGATCCAGCAGAAGTTACTGTGGCCGACTGTAAATAATCTACATTAAATTACGTTATGACGCAGAATGAGTGTGTTGGTATGTAAAAGGTAGTAGACGAGGACAGACGGTAGAATGGTGGAGACTGATGAGGCAGCAGCAGATTCAACGCAACGACAGAAAGTAGAGTAGAAGCTTTTTCCACCACAAACTAATTGTGTAATTTGCAGCTTCTCCGACAGCGTGTTCCGTACGCCTCTTCTGGGTGTCAGCTTTCAGAAAATGGAATACATCTAAACATAAACACCGAGCTGTTTAAACACTAAACAGGGAAGTCCGGGTGTCCTTAAATAGGGGCAGAAAAACAATCATCTAATGGCTCAAATCCCAAATATGGATTAGCCCCCAAATATAATCCATTAATTGTTGTTTCGCTGACTATCCATCCACGAACTCTGACCCAAGCCTGTTTCTTGAGAAGCTGCCAAAATCTCCTTTAACAGGCAATTTATTTGGGAAGAAACAAGTGTTTACACTCGCTCCATATTTGATATAATAATTGTTTCCCTCATTTTTTCTTCCCGACTTGTCCCTCCCTCCTGCTCTGTCGGCGGACTCTCAGTAGGTCAATAGGGACTTATCCCTCGGCTTACTACAGAAAGGGCTCTCATTGGTCTGCGCTCCTAAGTCCTACTCCTATTGGTGGTCTGTGTAAAGCCCCTGGGACGTCTAAGGATAAAGGTTAATGTTCTGTTGATGCATCCCAAAAAAACTGCTCTGTGCTACTGTAACTGGAGCGTAACATTACAACTATCGTCTGAGCTTAATATTCATCCTACTATAAACGCACATACAACGATCAAGAGAAATGGTTTAGTCACAAAGCATCAATTAAAAGATGTTAAATGTGAAGAATTGACTAAAATGTGGTTCAAATGCTGTCATCTTCTGTTATTACCTCAATCACAACCAGGACAATTACTTTCCGTTTGACCTTTCACCTCTACCTGTGGGCCTGTGTGTGTACGTGTGTGTGTCGTCTCACCTGGAAGTGAGGCTCCTTGAGGATCCTTGACAGTTCGGCCGCGCTGTCGTCTTTCACCTGCAGATTGCTGATGTCGCCCAGGATATCCGTCACCAGCTCTACATTGTTGTCCTGCACGGCCTCCAGCTTCACTTCCTCCAGCTGTTCGTGAGCCTGGAGGAGACGGAGAGGCTCAGGAGGGTCGATGCGGACGGACGACGGTAGTATTGCTGATTGTACAAGAATCTACATACAGGTAAGAGCTGATATACTGTGGGATTATTTTGTCCTGCAAGCAAACCACAACTAACTAACTCACTGCCGGTCGGCCACAGCAGTGAGGATGTGCGTTAGTTGCGGTGACGCAATACATGCATTGCACAGGATGCAAGGCCCAGCGTGCATCCATTCAATCACTCTCTGTGCAGATGCCACCATCACCGTGTTCGTCAAAGCCTCCCCCATGCTCCAGCACCTCGGCCACAGCAAGCTAAGCGCTGTCGGGGGCAGACTCGGGGGTGGGTGGGTGGGGCTCAGAGGTGGCTGGCGGCTAGTCCGCTCACTGCTGCTGCCCCTGAGCTATGCGTGTGTGCTACCTTATCGAGAGAGCGTACAGTGGGACTTTCCATGATGCCGCGCAGGAAGAGCAGGTCGATGTCTTTGGCTCCCGTGGAGGTGGGCAGCTCGCTCAGGTTATCCAGCACCTGCTGCATGGCTGGGTGGACGCGCCGCGAGATAAGAGAAGCACAGACAGGGACAAAGAGAAACGGAGATAAGGAGAGTTAGCCGAGCGTGAAAAGTCACACCAAGTGTAAACACACACGAGTATGTCGGCTTAGTTATTACAAAACAAGGCTAAATGCTTTGTATTGTTTAAATATTATACTGTATAATCATGTTGAGAATCTTGCCAGGTCAATAAAAATCTCTTCTGCAGGAATATCAAACTAAAGCTCTGTATGGAGTCAAAATGAGTCCGCTCAGGATGAACACAACTGCATATGTTACGTTTTTTTTAAATCCAGTGATAAAAGTTTTTAGAAAGAATCAGGACAAAGGAGCTCCGCTGAGTCTCGTTTTCTGTGCCCACAGAGGGAGGGAAAGGTGTGGACGGTAGCGCCCTAATGCCGGGGTCCCAGAGCACAGGTAAGCCCATTTAAGACACTTAAAGATGTCTAAAAGGCATGGGAACGCGAGTGTCTCTGTGTCATCATACCCTTAGCTGTCATCATACCCTTATGTGGGTAGTGAATATGTCAAAGTCAGGACGCGTAGGACTGTGAGGCTGTGATTATCATCTTTAACCTTGACTCACGCTCTCTATAATATTAGATCTAGATTTTTGTTTGCAAAACTGTGGCCTTGAAAAAGATATGTATTAGAAATCATTATTGTTTGTGGTGTCGGATGGTGCCAGATATGTTTAACCACCATCAACTTCCCCTTCAATAAAAAGCACGTGTGAATTTATCACGTCATAACTTCCTCTTATATTACAATCTACAATAAATCCACATCAAAATATGTTTTTTGAGCAGGATCATGTGAAATATCTTGTATGGAAACTAACACTACAGGTCAACAGTGTTGTGTTTAATTGTTGAACATACAAAAGCCACACAGTTGTATGATTAAGAAGAAGAGGAAGAAGCAGCAAAGAGCTCAATGTGGCTGAATAACCACTGAGCACAGACAAACTGCATCAAGGCTCCATGCAAAAATGAACCTTAAGTATTCATGGTCCTCTCAAAGAGGAGGGAGGCAAAATAATGCACTACAGGCTATCAAGCAATATAGTAACAGCATGACAACACAGGAAAATAATCTAAAACTCCAAATGAGATCCAATTGTTGTAAACACATCTCCACACATGAACAAACTAAACCACCATCCTGTCTTCATTCCTGACTTTTAGCGGATGCAGATGTGCTTTCCAATTTCAAAAAAGAGAACATCAAACTGACCTGACGGACTTGGTTAAAAAATCTCAAAAATACACCAAAGCAACAGCTGGATCGCGAGTTGTTGTTGCTCTCCGAGTTGACCTTCGCCCACTTGGTCAACTCACCGTGTCACCGCAGACCTCGACCGCGGGAGTGTTTGCTCATCCCGGCCCGTCCTCACCCCCCCGCCACGTGTACTTGTGTGTGTATCACTCGGCCCTCAGAAGCAGCCCGTAGATGCTTTTCTATCCTGTGAGAGATTGGAGATGAACTAAAGCCTCCTACCTAAAGTCTCTATAATCTAATGAAATATGGCACGGAGATACAAGCGCCTACGAGCCTCATGCTAAGCCTGAGGAAGTTGTAAAAAGAGATTAGAGCACTGGGCAGTTAAGAGTGGAGGGTTCATTCACGTATATATATATATATATTCATGAATCCTCCTGCTTACCTGCAGTTACTTCCCTCCGTGACCTGTGGTTGGTCTGCAGTCTCTCTCACCATGTAATCAGGCCCTCTAAATGTACACCTGCCAGCAGCGCGTGCTGCGAATGCAGAGCCGCTCAACAATTCCTTATACTCCGTTTCCGACGAGCCGGAGCTCAGAGGGGCACACAAGTAACACCCAAAGAATGTAGATTTCAGTGAGGGTTTTGCGCTGCTGCAATTAAAAGTGCATCAAGTCTTAACAGTCATCTTAGGAATAAACGATTCAAAACGTTAGCTACAGTAATGGATAACCGTTTTTTTTGAACAGTTGACAAAGAGGAGGTTATCTACAATCATCGTGAATAAACCGTATTAATAGATAACGTTATCTAAAAGTACCGGATCAACGGTGGAAGTGTCTGCTGGAAGTTTAAGCTCATGAATCAATGGTTGACCTGGTCAACGTTAGCTGCAATGGGTCAATGGTTGTAAGGTAGGGCTAAAATGTTGAAACAAAGTTTGTTAGATGGGGGGCCAGTGCTCTAAAGGGGGGGTCAGATCTACCAATGAAGACAGTTGAAAAATCTGACACCCGCTTCGTTCTCCCGGAGATCCCTGACCGACTACCAACCGATCTCTCCGTCTTCAAGTTTCTAAAAATCGAATCAAACACCACGTCATCTCCTCCCTGGCGGGTGACACCTCTTCCTCCTCCTGTCCTCACCTCCGGACGTATCTGCTTCCTGGGCGGACTGCACCGCCGGGGGCCCCTCCACGCCGAGCTGTCCCGCCGGCGTCACTTCCTCCTCCTCCTCCCGTACCCCATTGGGACAGGCGTCCTCCATAGCCGTGACCATCGCCAAGACTTCCTTCTTCCTCTCTGCTGCCACTAGCGTGCTAAGGCAAACCGCTCGTAAATCGCCAGCAGTTCTGCAGCTATGTCTTCTGTCCTCCAATCGTCCTGTCTGCAGCTGCTGACCCACTAAACTCCCCAAAACACAGAGAGCAAGAGAGAGAGAGGGTTGAGGACAGAGAACGCTAGAAGCAAAGCGGGCGCCAAAGGAGAGGGATTACAATAAAGGGAAGGTTAAAAGACGGGGAGGGGGAAAGGAGTGGAGAGGAAAGATGAGGGGGAGACATTTAAGAAGGGAAGAGGCTGATGTCAAGATGAGCTCAGATGAGGAAAGAAAAGAACCGAGCGACAGAGAGAGGCGGAGAGACGGATGGCGCACACACAGATGTGGAAATGCGTTCGATGAGTTCAATCCCCTCCCTCCACTCCGGCTCTAATACCTTCCCCTCCTAACCATCAACCCTCCCACCCACCCGCCGGTGAACACACACACACACACACACACACACACCCACATAATCCCACAATCCTCTCCTGCTGTTGAGGGCTTGCTTGAGTACCCCTCCTCTTGTGGCCCTAACCCACCCAAAATGTAGTTGTCCCACTTGTCTAGACAGAGGCGCACACACACCAGCTGAAGGTGTGTTATGAAAGTAATCTTACATAAGTGTTACTGAAGGGGTTCTAACCCCACATTCCAATTCGTTTCCTTCTCCTTCTTCGTCTCATCCACTGGGCCCATGATTTGGAGAAACTCAGCGTGTGCAGCTTGTGCTCGTGCGTATTTGCTCAGCAGTCGTCCGCCTCCTTGTTCCAGCAGGAACTTTTATTTTTAACCCTCTCCTCTTTTCTCCAACCTCTCTTCTTAGAGTTACTTGTCGCTAACTCAGTGAAACCAGATTATGAGCATTTTGGAACAATGTGAGATGCTGCATGACCCTAAATACTTTTGGGGAAGCTACTGGTGCAGTAGTTTCTTGGTAGGAACATTGTCATTTATATGCACATCTATTTTACACCTCTTCCTTTCTTATTTGCACAGCTTGGTTGTTTGCATACTTTGCTGTCATTTCTATTTCTGCAAATGTATATTGAGAGAGATCCCAAAAGAAAACGGTCAAATTCCATCGTATGTAACACGTTCAATACGCTAACCTGCAAGTGTTAAGCATGCTTTTATATGCTATAAATCAAGGTTATCACAGTGATTACAATTATTCCAGTGAATGTGTCAATTGTGCCAATCCATCCAGTAGATGCAGCTCTACTTTGTTGAGTGCAAAGTGCTTTAAGCTTTAACCTGCTGTTTTGGTGAGAGCTTCACCAAATTATTAAAAAGACATTGAATGACTGTAAAAAAGGGTCATCGTATATCTATCCCATGCTAGTGGAGATACTTTGGTCTCCACCTAAACGACGGACGGAATAACTGAAAGGCCGAATGACTGAAGCGGCATCTTCCGAGCTGCGCTGATGCCTGAGAAGAAGCCAGTGCAAACACATTACAGCGTAACACCAGAAAGGCCCGCGGAACGCTTTGGGTAGGTCCAGAAGGGAAATAGTTCAAGATGCAGTGGTAAAACAGGCCCCTCCCACAGCGCCACAGCTGTGCTAGTAGCAGATCTTTAGGCTTTAATCCGCCCCGCCTCTCCCTCCACCCCCACGCTCGCCGTGAGCGGTCAACCCCTCCCCCAATCCGCAACATGGGAGCGTAATCCGGCCACAAAAGCACATGATTACAGGATCTCTCTCTCTCTCTCTCTCTCTCTCTCTCATATGCAGCCTCCAAACATCTATACGTCGCCAACAGTGTAATACACTGTCTGCTTAGGTTTGATAACCACCACCTGTGAAGAATTTAGTTTATCTCTGGTAGTTGAAACCAAAAAGCAGTATGCAGATTGTTGATTACGCGTATGAGTTTCTTCTAAAAAGTAACCGTTCCTCTTTAGAAAGCCCCTTAGAGGAGCTTGACTGAGGCAGAACGGCTGCGCGTCGTTTTCTACGAATACAAAAAATAAATCATGGGAAGTTAACACAGACATTGAGAAAATATCATACGCTTTTATACGCTGCAGGGCCAAAAATCTAATGGCACCATAAAAATGGCCAATAACAAAAAATACATTTCTGTCAGCCATAAGATGCATAGGCAGTAAATGCTGGCATACAGATATGCGTTCTGCGTCAATATGCACTGTTTGACTGACATCAGCCGGTAAATACGGATAAAGTAATCTGTGTAATCCACATGGATTTTCTCTCGGAGCAGCGATCAGCACATCTTCGCTTCTACGGCAGTCGGTCCGCCCACCAACCTGACGAAATCCCGTCAGCATGCGGCCAGCGTGCGCTTGAACGTCTCTGGTGAATCAGCACTGAGATGGGAGCGGGGAGGAAGTCGTGTTTACCTGTGCCCCTCGGTGCTGCCCAACCTCGCTCCTACTGGCTGCTCATCAGTCAACTGGGAAGACCTGGAGGGACGGAGAGATTCGTGAACGGTTTGCTCATCCTCACGGGAGACGTGTATCCAGTCGGACCTTCATCCCCGCACACCGGTTTTCATCGTTCCTCAAAACGCGCACACACTCGCTTGAGCGGTCGGGTCAGTGGGCCGTTGCTCATCCCTCACACGCACATCTAATGACTCTGTCTTTTTCCCCCAGAGAATTATCGGTTTCATCCATCTGTGTCACCCACCTCCTCCGCAAGGTAGGAGTCTCACTCGGCGACCGAGGCCGCTGTTGGTTCAGAGCGATGCGCATGAGTCATCCAGGGCGACACAACGTCCTGCACCGGGGACTTGGGACGCCCGCATCACAAGCTGGCACTGTGCCGCCGACGTAGTAAACGCCACTGCTCTCAGGGGGTGATGACGAAGCAGTATCCACTCACTCCCAGAAAAGACTGGGTTCTTCCTTTCACTTGTAAACACAAGCAATCAGACCTTGTGAACCTGCGGCGTGTAGAACGAAGCCTGCGTTTGTGACCAAAACCATTTCATTTAAAGTGTTTAGACAATGAAGAAAAGAAATTGACTGTTGCTGAAGATGAAAAAGACCCTAAGCTCCACGTTTCTATCATCACGTGTCTCATAGAACTGCAAAGTCGGGCATTGCCCGTTCGTCCTGCTCTGAACATCCAGGGTGGAATGGACCAGAAAACACGAAGACATCGAGTGATTACAAATAGCTGATGCCTGCAAACACACACACAAAATAAAGCCATAAATGCATCCACTGAATTGGCTACAATATGGAATATTAATGTGTCAGGAAATTATCACAACAGTCTACAAGGTGATTACAGCACACAGGGGGAACATCTATTCAGCACTTGATGGACTTTTTGCCCATCGTACTGGAGCCAATTATCCTATGAGAGAACGAGAGAGGCAGAGAGAGAGAGAGAGAGGGATGGAGAGGTCGATTCATTACGCAACGCAGATTACAATCAGGCCTCGGCACGCTCATTGGGAGTGAAAGATATCCCTTCGAAGAATGTTAATGGAGCCAAAGCCACCGGTGCAATTCTTCACCAAATCCCCTGCACTGCGGGGAAGGAGCCGGTGCAACGAAAGGTCGGAAAGGGAACGGAGGAGGGGGGAAATTGCAGCGTTATAAGAAGGGAAAAGTCAGAACTAGATTTTAGAGGCACAAATAAAAATGGGTTTCAGGGGAGTCGGCGCAGAGAGTTCCGATCAAGAGAGGCAAGAAGAAATAAAAAGCACAAGTCATAAAGATTAAACAGAGTTGTGGGAACAGCTTCCCAGATCTTGGAGAGATGAGAGCGAACAGGTAAAACAAGAGAGAAAGAAAGACCAGAGTGAGTGGTCGTTGAATGCAGACGCCTCTGTAACTAACCTCTGATTTGCTCTCGCAGACTTTGTGTATTAATATGCACTTGTTTGCATTCCAAAGTACGATATCTCACCAGCCCAGTCGACCTTTTTTCCACACTGATTTAAACGTAAACTATCCTCTGGATTCCGGACTCCCTTGGTGTCCTTAAATCATCGTCACTGCAGGCTGCTTGTTCCCTCCTCTTGGGACGGGGGGGAATATGCCCGGAAGTGGTAATTTGGCGATCACGGCTGCCATTGGCCTGGCGTGTGATGGGACAAGCCAACAAACGTCCTCTGAGTGGCCGGCGATTGCCGAGCACTCAGATGACGGACGGCTCGTGGAAGTGGGGATTATGGAAGGATCAGAGGGTTTGTTTCAGTATGAAACATCATTGCCGTCACACACATTAATTCTTAGTCACTAGTCACGCTAGTCAGACTCTGTGTCTGAAAGAGCACGTTGTGATGTCTGGTTGGTGTCGAATGGAGTACGAAGCCACAATAAGGTCACGAAAGACAAATTGAGACGCAGAGTCAATCCCATGGGACGTCCAACACGGAGAAACCATTCAACCCGGGTCCGCGTCTTCTGTCCACCTCTATTCTCTCGCTGACAAAGACGTTCCCGTCCCAGTCCCCGCTTGAGCCGGGGGCTCGGTGCTCTCAGAGCAGCCGTCACTCTCAGTTCCTCTCCATGACTTGAGAATCACAAAAGAGGGCCAGGGAGCTCCGTCCCGCCCCTGGAGTCCAGATATCGCTCCGTCGGCTGACGGCAGTAGATTTAACGCCCTTGGCGGTGGTGCGTGCGACGGGGGCACCGCAGGTTCGAGGGAGCACAGGCTTGGACGTGGACGCGTGTGTTTGTATCACCACCAGCAATTAAGCAACCCCATCTTGCCTCGCCTCACAACCATCACCCGCTGCCTCCAGACAAACGCTATCTAGGTCACTCCGTGTGTTAACACAGCCGACCAATATGGGGATTACGATGCTACAGCCGAGATGGCCGTTTTAGCAGATTAATATCAGCAGAATATTTACCTTCCTGTCATTGCAGCTGTTGCCGGTGGTTTCAAAGGGAAGTTAATGAAATCATCTCAGTCCCTCCAATGATGAGAATGCAGCTTTACCCCCTTTTTCTGCTGATTCATGCTACCTCTACTCTTCACCTGACGCTGCAATTTCAATAATCACTGTTTGACACAAGGGCATCAATTGTTGCATAATCCCCCAAATTCTCCAAAAATGACCTCTTCGTCCGTGATATTGCCGCTTGTTGAGTGTCTCTGTGCTTTGCGGCGTGGCTTGAGGTGATATAATTACAACGGCCGTCTTGTTGAAACCCTTCTGCACCAAACGCTTTGTCATCTTAATAATGACCCCCTCCCTCGGACATAATCCAACCAGTCACTCCCGAGTGCACCTGCTTCCTCCGCTCAGCCTCCCGTTGATGATCGTTAGCATTGGGGCAAAGATGGGGAGCGGAGGCAGGGAGGCGGGCAACGGGATGCAACAGCACTTAACAGCACTGCAAAGTTTAAGGGAAAAGGAAATTGATGTTGAATGGTGAAAATGTGTGGGAGGAAGTGATGAGGGAAATAATTTAGTCTCCGATGTTTATATATACTAGCTGGGGCTGCTGGAGTTAAAATGACTGTGACTTTGAGCTGCTGACATTCTGCTCTTAAACCTCATCAGCAGATGACCTTTGTGCCAAAACAATGATGATAATCTGCACATATATATCATTATTTTGGCATTTTCATCCATCTGTTTAGTTGTATCAGAGTTGCAACATTTCGGTCTTCATCACAGAGATTAAAAGGAGGTGTTTTGTGTGCTATTATGGGTATTGGTATATTGTTAGTCTGCAGGGGTGTGCATCTTTAAGGCTTTAGTGACGGACCTCAAGCCGCTGAATCAGCACAATAGGCTGCAGCAAAAGCTGTCAAAAACATTAGCTCTGCAGCAATTCTGACACAAAGTTTCCCCTGAGATGTTCCTCTCCTAACAGCTTACTCATTTGCTTACTTTCTTGACAAGAGACGCAATTAACTTGTCATAACTGCTCTGGGTTTAAGAAATGGGTTAACTATAGGGTGTCGCAGGCCAGGGAGCGTTGATTTTAAGGTGTGCAGCTAATCCCGTTGTCCATAGCTGGCATGTGTGAGTCACCCCAATCTGTGTGTTTGTGTCCCTCCTTTTCTCTCTTGCCCAACCCTTCCCTTCCCTTCCCTTTCCTGACCACAGACGCTTCCGAGCATTGCATTTGGTTTTTCCAAATGACTCACTGAATAAAATCTCATCCTCATCCTCACCCTCCTGCCCAATGTACTCCGATGTACTAAAGCTGTCTCCACGCCTCCCCCCGCCTTTGTTTCTCCAATTAGATTCAACAAATGAAATTATGGCTTATTGCATGATCATCGGAAGGAAGGATATATCCATGATGGCCTTCTCAGTGGTCTGGTGGCCTATTAGGCACCAGGATGGATCCCCAGAGATGTGCACGGGCGTCCCTCTAAACGTCCTAAAACCCTGTGCTACTATAGGAAGTCCCACAATTCTTTGAGAGATGTGGTTTCGATGGTTCGATTAAGCGCTCACATAAACTAGTCTCGACACCGCGTTGGTCCATTATTTTACATCTCAGTGGACGAAAAATGAATCGATAGGGCCGCCTGGCCGCGTCTCCGGTCGGCCAGTCTGTGCCAAACCCGCCGGCTCCCCCCACACATGTTCTCATTCAGCATCAGCTCCAAACGAACAAACCTTTCCTCGTCAATTTTTTGCGAAAGTTTTTCTAGACCCAAAGTAATTTTTTTCCAGAACATTTAGTCACCGTTGCACGCGTTACTGTTACTTCTTCTTCTTGCCCAGCGCACTGTTACAGACCATCATCACGGGACGGGGGCGCTTTCTTAACCTTTCTCTCATCCCGTCGGCGCGGCTCGTCCCCCCCTCCCCCGAAGTCCTGGATCCGACGCCACGGTTGTGACGCGTGGCCCACATCCGTGCGCCCGATTCCGTGCGCTTTGGAACCGTGCGCCGGATTCCACGTCGATGGCTGTCGCCGTTCTAGGCTGACCAGACAACCGCACTGTTCGCGCGGCTCTTGTCGCACGTGCGGCCATTTTTGTGTTGCCCATCCGAGCCGCTGTGGCCGTTGCGTGCGCGCACTTCTTCACGGCCAAAGCTTCAACTCATCCGCTGACGCCTTCCTCGTGATATGCGGGGGAAGGAAACGCACTCCCCCCGTGGGCACCCGCGCGCGTGCCGAGTCAGAATAAAGCCTGCCCTCGCAGCAGAGCGGGCTCTCTGTCGCGGGGCAAACATGTCAAACTCCGCTGCACCTCAAACACGGCAAAGTGCCTTTGTCTGTACGGTTGGACAGCCGGAGGAATACATTCATTCAGAGCCTTCAAACCTCGAACACGATGACGAGCCGCCACGTACCTGTTAATCGTGCGTTGTGCGGTCGCGGTAGTCCACCGACCGTCCCGGTTGGACATTCAAGCGCACCCCCCACCCCCCTCCTTTCCTCAGCTGTCTGTCCCGGTCCCGCGGCAGACTACCAGAGAACACGACGCCAATCAAACAGACAGGCCCCGCCCCCTGCTCCCTCTCCGTCACACGGCATTGACCAATGGCGGCGCGGGTACGGGGCTCGTGGAGTGAACGCATTGTAGCGTGTAGTAATTTCTTTCTGTCACAATGTCGCGCACGCATTCATTCACAGAAATGCTGGTTCACATGCGCCACGTCGGCTGTGGACATTAAAGCAGGATAAAAGATATTTGTCTGAAAATGGTAAGAGAGGTTTGAAGCTCAAAATATAAAGTCCCCTCGTGAGAAACGTTAAGGTGAAATGATAATGTTTCATCAACTTCTATCTTGTTCCAGTGGACAAATCCTAACCTTTTACATTTGAGAGGGAGCCACGAAGTCTTTCCTTCATGGCTCAGTGTCGTCAACATCACTATTTAATTCATTGCCATTTAAACGCCATTTCTCCCTTCATTTGGTTTGAGAGTAGCTAATTATGTTGATGGCCACAAGAGAGCGCCATTAGCTGTTGGCATCTTCAGGTTGATTGATGTCTGCTCACCGTATTTGCTTTTTGTGGACCTTTCATGACAGGCCCAGTTTAAATGTGCCTTCACCCCATTAAGCAGAGATATACCCGAGCTGCCACAGTCATGGATTTCAGATGGAAGCTGCAAGGTGTGACTCAATAAGTCCAAAGCCTGATCCCATCCTGAGGGAGGACATCGAGCCAACAATGTCTGGGATGTGACAGGCATTGTAATTTGTAGATCAGGACCAATGTTCTCTCTAATCTGACGTGTGAGTGACCTTATAGAACAAAGCATCGCATAGAATATAAAATAAAATGTCAACCAATCAATCATTGCTCAATACTTCTGCGGTGGTACTTTTTGAGTGTGATTTCTGCAGTTTAAACGCATTTCCTCTATCAGAAAGAACCAAAGAAATACATTCCTTCAAACAATTAATCTTTAATAGCACAATTATACAACACAATCAACACTCCCTCCTGCCCGTCTTCATCTTTATGTCTCACAGATGACAACTCTGAATAAGCTATTTACAATAGTATAAGCAGCTGTGATTGTGGCCGATGGGTAAGGAGGAGGGATTGAATATATACGGCTCGCGGAGGGCAAAGGGGCAGAGGCAGGGTGGTCATAGAGGTATAATATCAGAATATCAGCGGCAGCAAGGGGCAGCAGTGAGGATGAAGCCAACGCCGTTGACAACCTCACCACAATGACGGGTCATATCTAGCGAGAGAGAAGCAAAGGACAAGGTCAGCTTCTTGTGACTTGTGACTGAGGTTTGCACTGACAGTTTTGCACACACCTTGACTGTGGGAGCGCGTCTGTGCTTTCCTTCAACAGCAGCTCTGAGACCAGCGTGTCCAGAATGTCAGGACTGGACCTCTTTCCATACCTGAGACAAAGATAGAGACACAGGGCTCAGCCTTGACATAATCAACAGAAATCAAATTCATTCAGACCAAGACCCTGCGCGGTCAGACAATAGTTTTTGCAGGCTGTCATGTTTCCTCTTCTGTCCCTCCGATGATACGCTGACCCCCCCTGGGTGGCTTAGCGCCTGCAGGCGCCACACAAGTCCCTGACATTCAGAAGAAAGATGAAAGCTGTGGGTGATCGGAGACGCTCGGCTGCCGTTTCCCCTCGGTTTATTTTCTACAGGTGGTAAACGGGCAGCAGGTGTTCCCTGCTCTGTCACATGCTATTACATGACATAGTCCTGCTGCTCCAATAGGCAAAACTTTGGGTGGACTTTGTTTGACATATGAAACGTTTTTATTATTATTTTAGATTAGATGTCAAGAAAATAATAGAAAATGCCAACTCCTGGCTATTCTTAAAAAACAGTAGAATTTGTTATTTTACCAAATTAAATGTAATTTTTTTTTTTATTTAAAAATATTTTAAATTTAAATCTTAAAGCTTTTTAGGTGCTGCAGCATTGCGGGCTAACGAAGAAAATGGCTCAAATAAGAATATATACGGAAGCATTATATAATTACAACAACGTTCATCTGATCATCAATGGAAGTTGCAATTTTTCTTCAATTGGAGATACAATAAAATAGACTAGAATACAATGGGGAAGCTACCAGCAAGAGGTAGAGGATTCAAATATGAATCCAGTCATTTGAGCAGAATAAATATTTCAAAGTATTCATTATGATCGATTTTTTTTAATCACCCTCCCCAGTTCTGTCAACAAGCTCTCCGGTCGATTGAATTCGGGCTGAGAGGAGTGATATCAGTCCGCCGCCTACCTCTGTCTTGTGATGAGGTTGATGTAGTGCCTCAGGGCTGAGTAGTACTTGGCCAGTTCCACCGCCGGGGCGTCCTCCCCGGGGTTCTCCGGTTTCACCGGGTACCCCTCCGTCAGGGCACCCAGGCAGAGCAGCGCCCACAGCACGAGCCCCAGAGTCCCGAGCCAGCTCACCACGTGTGGATGCATCTGATGGAGCAGAAACAGGTACCCGCTGTCAGCCCGCGCCCCGTCTATTCTTACACTTGTCTTTTAAATGTCCTGTTCTGTTTTTAGATGAATTTGGTGTTTAATGAGATTAGTTGTCTTATTGCCAAAACCGTTGGAGAAAAAAAAACTTGCAACCAGCTGAGTCCTGCATGGTGACTTTAAAGTTTTCTGTTAATGGCAGTGAAAGGTTTTGAATTAATGTAAATATCAAGGTACTTACATTTCCCAGAGGTTCGGAGGGATAACTTTCCTGAGACGTCTGTTCTGCTGTTCTGTTCGCTTGTTGCGCGGCGGGCTTTATATCCATGTGCGCCATATACGCGCTGCAGAAATACGCGTCACAGCCGCGCTCCGTTTTTGCGCAAGTCTCTTTTCACGTGCACGTCACTAGTGATGCTGTCATCAACGTGCTTTGAAACAAACAACAATATGTTTACACCAATTTAAAAGAAGTGAAATGTAACATAATGAAAACTAAAATTAGAACCTAATAAGACTTTTACTAACGAATCAGGAGGGATTAGGGATGTTTTTTTCAGAGAATGTGGCCAATCAAGTTGTTGTGGTAACATTTTATAATTCAAACCAATATGACTGATGTCCTTAGGTGAACGTTGTAAAGGTATTGTGGTAAACAATTTAGCAATTCTGGTAAATTCACTTTAAAGTCTGTAGATTAAGCACTTTGGAAAGATTACTGAAATAAATAACCTTGTTGTTAATTAACAACAATTAAAGAGATACGTGACATCATGTATGCATCAGATGTTGGCATGTGTGTGTGTGTGTGTGCATGGGGGTACATAACAACACGCACACATTTTTCAGAGATACACTCTCAATAACAGAGATAAACTCTCACTGCTCAACAGATTGATACACACATGCCGAGTGTGTTTTGGTGTTCACGAGGCGTCCCTCTGAGGAAGACGTGATAAATCATTTCAGTAGGAATTAGCAATTCTTCTGTATGCTGAGATCAATTATCCCACCTGAGGTCACAAAATAATGGCGGTGATGTGACATCGTGGGCAAACTTCAAATGAGTCCTCCTCACCATAAAAGAAGCGCCAACAAGGACGCCTCGGGGGATGCGGGATGAAGAGATCTCAAACCTTCCCCATTTCATGACTCGCTGTTTAGCTGAATCGGTCCACTAATTTCATTTTGCAGCTCATTCCATCGGGGAAGAGAGACTGGGACACTCAGCGTGAACAAAAGGCCAAACATGAATATCAAGGCACGTCAGTGAAGAGCCCAATCTCCCAGAAACCCTCTTAATAAGAAAACCCAAATAGAACTTCAAATGAATCTGTATCACCCAGTGCCTCATTTACATCCTATTCAAAACCCTTTTGTGCGTCGGCTCGCAGCCGTATAATCCATCAAAATCAGCATTCTTCGGCAGCGCTGTTTTTTAAGTAGCGCAGAGGATGCGTTAAGGGCTTTTTGTAACACAGGATGTTGAGAGGGAGATGAGGAACGAGACTCGAGTCATGACCGAATCCTGATGATCGCAGGCAGGAATTACAACTTTAAGTCCTCATCACACACACGTACACACACACACAAACACACTCTGGGGCTCACTGTCACACCTTTCAAAGCAAACAGCTTGCGGCTACGAAAGTGTCTGTCGGTGTGAATGAAGCAGATGCATGAAGCACGCCGACAAAGTTGAGAGGTCAGCTCGTCTTCCACACCAGACTGAGTAAAAGTGACTTTGAACTCAACAGTCAGGTGCAGGATTGCACCCAAAACTCATTGATCCTTGAAGAAGACATTCTAAAATATAAGAGGCCATATTGGAATACAAGTCAGCTAAGAACAAGTGATAGGAGTCTTGAGTATTGATTGTTTGAGGCTGTCCTCACGCAAAGTGGTGTATTGAGCTAAATGCTAACGCTATCTTAAACAATAAACGACTAATGTGTCTAATTGGGCCGACTATTATGTCGCCATGTGCGCCATTTTAGTTTAGCATGCATTTAGCAGGTAATTGGTCCTCGGTAGAGAACAAGTACATGTTATGGGAACGTAAATGTGTTCCCATCCATCCAGTAAATAATCCAAGGAGGAAGACCGTCAATTTACGACAAAACCTTATTTATGTTGACGAAAGGGTCAAGAATAACAATTTCCAGAACAAGCGAATTCCTGCACGGTCCCGATCCTTTCGCCAATACAGGAAAATGATGCACGACCGACTCCTGGCATGATGAATTTCAGCGCAGGTTGACAACACAGAGGATGAATCCCAAACGCAACGCTTTTGTGCAAACACTCGTCAAAGAGTGGATTAGGGAAAAACACAGACAAACCCCACCTTTACGGATGGATTTAAGCTCTTTCAACGGAACATCGTTGCCACCGTTAGAACAAACAGTTTTTAGGCCGCCGGGAAGAGGGGTTCAAAATAAAAAAAAATACATAAATAATTTCGCAGCTTAACTTCAGTGAATCACCACATTTGTTGTAGTACGTTAGTGAAACTATTGTCACGACCCTCTTCAATGCCTTTTTACACCGTGAGCC